ATTTCAATTAAGGCTATGTTTTGGACCATATTTAGCACAATTTATTTTTTATCTCGAAAACAGATAGAGATAGGTATAGGACATTATTAACAAAAAAGTATTAAAATACCAGAGCGATTCCAAAAATGTATTAATATACGGGGTGTTCCATTTAAAAAAATAAAGTTGCTAGGACTTTTTGATGGAAGTGGCAACGCCGCAATGCTGGAAATATTTTAGATCGACAGAACAGGTATGGAAATGTGAGAGGTGAAATTTTCAGAAAAACCATGCTTTGCGTTTTCCAGAAACGTCTAACCTACCATCGACCGTGAGTCACGCTGTATATGGTCATTTTGATTACATTATAGAGAAATTAATTTTATTGACAAAATGGTTGAGGCTACCCTTTTTTAACGGTGTACCAACCTTCAGTCTCTCGGTAATGAAATGCATCTTACAGTCTTAATGTTTAGGTTCAGGTTAGATTATACAATTTTTCATCTTGCAGAAGTTGAGGTGTAAAAAAACTAAGCACTTACTGGGCCTCCCATAAAACTTTGTGGAACACTCTCTCTTGTAACATCTCAAGAGATTTTTAAACGTTTCTCCTTTTTTATTTTTAGATAAGTAAAGATTCTAGAGAAGTCAATGTAACGGCACAGGGAACCGGTTTGGCTATATTCAAAGTATCCTATCAATACAACGTAAACGTAACAGGCCCTTGGCCGATGTTCACTTTGGATCCACAAGTAGACAAGAACTCCAACGGACACCACCTTCAGATATCCATTTGTACAGCGTAAGTTCTCCATCTTCATTATCGGAGATATTCACATAGAAATATTATCTGTCATTGCCTAGGCAACAATTTCTATAACAAATTCGGTTCAGAAATATAGTTATTTGGTGCTGTTTTTACAGATTTGTGAGCAGGAATCTGACGGAGAACCCTCAAAGCAACATGGCAGTTATGGACGTTACCCTCCCTTCTGGTTACACAGCCGATACCGACGCCTTGCCGAGTCTGGAAGTTTCCCAGAACGTCCAAAAAGTTGAGACGAGTCATGGACTGACTAGGATAATCTTGTATTTCAACAACATCACCAGAATCGAATATTGTCCCACGATATCTGCATTCAGAACGCACAAAGTAGCTAAGCAAAAACCAGTTCCGGTCGTTATTTACGATTATTATGACACCTGTGAGTATTTTTTTACATCGTTATCAGTTCATAAAAAAATAAAATGACACACAAACGACAGAACTGAAAATTTGAGAATTGGACCATAAAAAAGAGATTATTGGCATTCTTGAACCAACATAACATATTATTTACAGTATAATTCGGTTTTCAAACTTCTAAACACACAAGTGATGCAATTTTCAACTTTTTAAATGAACTTTTTGTTGGCCTAAACGATGGAAGAGCTATTGGAGCAGTATTCTGCGATTTTTCAAAAGCACTCGACTGTGTTAATCACAGTGTACTGCTCAAAAAATTATATTGCTATGGATTCAGAGGAGTGACACTCGACGAACCGAAATCAGATTGTCAAATTTCCGAATTGTTCCTCTGATATCTCAAAAATAAACTGGGGAATTCCCTAAGGATCCGTTCTTGGTCCAATTCTTTTCCTTATTTACATTAATGATCTTAGTAAGATTGATATACATGGAACCTTTACCATGTTTGCAGACGTACCACCATACTATGGCATGGAAGTGGTATAGAAGTTCTGAAAGAGCGTATCTTTCTAGACTTACAGAAAGTTAAAACCTGGTGTGACTCAACGAAAATGTTCTTGTTTTCCAGCAAGAAGAGCCCGAGTGTTTTACAAAAGCAGGAGCGTCACCCTCTGTGATATATGCGAGGAAGAAGACTGTGGTGACATCTGTTCAACAGAAGCAAAAGCGAGAGCGAGTCAAGAAGGGGGAGTAGACGCCCGAGATGGTGGAGGTGCCAGTGGAATTAAAAGCGTGTCAATCTGGATTCCGTTACTGATTCTATTCGCGGTCTACAACCGTTGAAAAGTTGACTAACACTTAGAAGACTAAATAATCGGTTAACCAATGTTCCTTAACAAACTTGTGATGATCCACAAGTAAAAAAGACATTACTTTTTTGGGTGATGAGAAAGTAGTAGTACTAACCAATTGAAACAGAGCGAGTAAGAAGCAAAAATGGTCCAGGATGTGTAACATAACTAATGTGTGACGTAAAAGAAAAATTGTTTGGCCGCAGAAAGTTTTGTTTTTTGAATTGAAACCATGTAATTACGGTTCAGAAATTTTAAATACCTTTGAAATGCTGTGATTTTGTATATAGGGTGAAAAAATTTTAAACAAAATTATAAATTCACTTCAAATTTCGTTGATTCAATTAATAAATTATAATTTTTTCTTTTGTAGTTTTTATACTTCCTATCACTCCATTTTTCACATGCCTTATGCACGATGTATCATTGAATACGTAGTCAAACTTTTCAACTAATTCCTTGAGAGATTCTCGTACTGGAAATTCTGCATTATCGATTATTATTTTTATTAAACAAATGTAAGACAGCATAGTAGATTGAACATATCTACACACATCGGAAAAGTCTAGGGATATTTTTATAACATACTAAATATCATAAAATAAATGCATGAGGTCGTTTAATTTCGATTAAATTGGTACACTCGACCACCCTGTAGATTTCTATGGGTTGAACAAAGACTGCAAAAACGGCAACTAATCTTTTATCAAGTTTTTTACAAACTGTAGGTTTTCGGCTAAAATGAATAATCTGAAAGTGTCGAGTTTGTACATTCTATGCAGTTCTTGCTCAGCAATTAAACTGGAAATATTGTGCTTTAACATGGAACGCCATCACTTACCATTGGCTGAGATGAATAGAGCTGTAGGGCTTCTTCAAGGTGGCATGCGACAAAATGATGTAGCTCTTCGTTTGGGGGTCTCCCAAAGTGTTATCAGTCGATTGTGGCGGCGTTTCCGTGAAACTGGCAGTCCAGCCGAACAACATCCAGGGCGAGGAAGCGCTACAACTGCAGTTCAAGACCGATTTTTGGTCTTAACCGCAAGAAGACAACCGACAATCACAGCACCTGAGTTGGTTAACGTGTTGCAGCAGACGCACCAGGTAACCATTGGTCGTGATACTGTCAGAAATCGACTGCATGAAGCAGATCTCCACAACAGAAGGCCACTTAGATGTCCACCTTTGTCGAGAGGCAATCGCGGTAGAAGATTAGAGTGGTGTCAAGAACATCAAAACTGGGATGCAAATGATTGGGCCACAGTTTTGTTTACAGACGAATCCAGATTCGGATTTCATCCGGATTCTCGTCGAGTAAGACTGTGGAGACGACCTGGAAATAATGAACGTTTGAGACACGTCCAGGAAGTGCACACATACAGAGGTGGTGCAGTAATGCTATGGGGCGGAATCATGATCGGCAGCAGAACCGATTTCGTTTTTCCAAATCGCTCCCTCACAGCTCGACAGTACCTCGACATCATTCTTCTACCTATCGTCCGTCCGTTTGCTGGTGCTGTTGGTGAAAACTTCCACCTAATGCACGATAATGCTCGTCCACATGTCGCGCGTTTAGTGACTGACTGGCTCACCAACGAAGGAGTTGATGTATTGCCATGGCCAGCACAATCACCGGACCTGAATCCCATCGAGCATGTGTGGGACATACTTCAACGAAGAATTACTCCGCATATGGGGAACATTCACACAACGTTTCAATTGAGAGAGCTTTTAATCGCTGAATGGGCAAATGTACCTCAACAAGACATTGACAATCTCATTTTGTCGATGCACGATAGATGTAGGGCCGTAATAAACCAGCGTGGAGGCCATACTTTGTACTGATTCCAATTTTTTTTGTATTATGATTTTTTTTCGGGGTGCCAAAGAGCCATATTTTTTTTAGTTTTGCTTATATGCGCACTCAGTATTTTTGACCATTTAATAAATTTTGTTGTGAGTTACATTCGTTTAATAATCACCCGTCAACTTTTTTTTTTCCTAAAGCGATCTAAAAAAAATTATTGCCATTTTTAAAAATATCCCTAGACTTTTCCGATGTGTGTAATTACAAACCTAAAAAAACGTAGTTAACAATTTCCTTTTACAATTCCAATAAACATCCAAAGTTTTAATAGATAGCAGGTTGTTCCAGTGGATAAAATCACGATTGCACAAAAAATGTTGGTGAAAAAGTTTTATGAACCTTCCTCGCACTATTTTAAAAGGGTGACCTCTTTATTTATCATCATTACTCAGCACAGCATACTCGATAATCTGATCTTAGTAATCAAAAGTAACCAAGGTCTGGAACTTGATGTCTAGCAGAAAACATACCAAAATACATTATTGGATGAGATAGTATTTTCAAAAAGTTGAACTTGATAGTAGCCTTCAAAACTTCTTGTTCACTTCGACAAATGTTGGGTAACCCTAAAGACAAGATGTTGGAGAATGAAAAGTCGGGAATATATCGAATGAACTGTGACCAAAAGTATTTTGGTCAGACTAAGCCAGCCACTGAAACTCGTTTCAAAGAACACGCCGCACCTATCTGTTTTCAAAGACCACAAAAATCTAGCGTCGTGAACGCCAATTAAATTTTTCAATAAGATACTAATTAGTTTGAGAAATTTTAAAAATATGTTAAGAGTTTCTGAGAGAATTAAAACCACTTTGATTCTGGAATTCCTACGGTGTGTTTTAATAGTTTTATACAATTGGTCTGACATTCCCTGAAGGAATATAATTTTCTCATCTTAATAAATTGACACCATTTCTGTAAACATATCTACTTGTGTAAAGAATACAAAAGCAGCTGATAAAATGTCCATCCGATGAATATCATTATGAAATAATGTTAAAAATATAATCAAATATGTTCTATTACTTCGATAATTGAAAAAAAAAATTCTGTTTACAATCAACTTGCATCTCAAGGCGAGTCTCTGCTTCTGAAAAACTCACAATACACTAAAAAAAATCCCACACATCAAACACGTTACTTCTTAAAAGAAGTCAAAAATTTCTTCAACCTGACTAGCAGCGATTCCTTCTTCTTGGGCTTCAGCACCAGCCGCCTCGTCGTGATATTGTGCAGAGGCCCAAACGCAAGCGCTACCACTGTGCAAGCCAAGCAAATAACGTTGTACGGCATGCTGAAGTCAGGCGTCGGCAAAGTCACAACCATATTTTCGGTTCGAATTTGCACAAAGTACCCGCTACGCGATGCATTAAAACTATCGGAGATCTTAGAGCCTTCCTGGGGGAGTCCCGTGTAGTTACGAGCAAGCGGTAGTATGCTAGAAACCACAGCAGACCCGATATAAAACCCGTGATTCGCGTCTGGAGGGTATTCCTGCCACTTGAGGAACACGTAGTCGAAGTCTATGGAGACGGATGTCACGGAGCGCGGGGGTAATTTGATTAAGACCTCCAGGTAGTAGGGCCGTTCCCTCTGCCGGCCAGGGACGTACCTAAGCGCAACAGGCTCGATAATTCTCCCGTTGGACTCTACCTTGAGGGTGTGCAAGTAAACGGGCACGTACCAGGGAATGTTCTGCAGAAGCACAACGTCCAAGTTATTCCAGTGATTGTTGTAAACCTTCACTACGATACCTCCCCTTTCCTGACCGTATCCCGTTAGATACTGGCTGGCGTGCAAAGGGGGTGGGGAATTTAGGGATATAACGTCTTTTTCCGGGTATTTGGCGTACAAGTTGAAGAACCTATTGGGGATGATATACTTGCCAAATGTTGATTCGTAACCTCCTCTCGTAGATTTCATCACCTCCTGCGGTTGTGGTTCTAATTCAAAACTTTGAGACTCCGCACTCGTCATGTCCACGTAAACTTCGCTTCTCTCTGCCAACACACAGTTTCCGTTTACTCCTTGTCCGAATAGCTTGGAAAGGGACCAGTCCTTAGTGCCTAAAATACCGTAATCATACACCAACGATACGGTCTGCTGCAAGTCCAATGACAAGGCTTGGCAAGACTCGTCCCTGCAAATCCTCCTCAAGTGCAACCCAATGGAGTGGTATCGAGTATTGTGTATGTATCCAGAATTCAACAAAGAGGCAAGCCCGGATTTGGAGTCGCACGGTAAGAGTTTCTTCCAGGGGGTGAGGTTTTCTGTGCAGACGATTTCACGGGGCAAACTAGCATACCTAGAAAAAATTCAATTTTTTTGGTTAACCTGAATAAAACTGAAAAAAATGTGTGAAAGCTTTTTTTGGGTTTTTTGGCCGTGTTCTACAGGTTTTTATGTCCGATGTTTCGTCTACTACTGCGGTAGACATTATAAAAGGCAACGTGGTAACGGTCGCACTGCATGACTTAGTATTCGAATGGTAGAATAGCGTAAGCTAAACTCCGCCAAGATAAAAATAAAGACCAATTATTATTATTATTATTATAGAGAAAATTACAGAACAAATAACGTGTTCTTTATTCCACATATTCACTAACCTTAAGAACGTATTGTTGACACTGGGCGAATCAGTGACACCTCTGGGCCTGAAGGAATACTCCGGGCTGATGCTATTTGATGTGTCAATGAAATTGAGGGACGCACAGAGCAAACCGGAAAGGGAATTTGCTAAAAGTTTCCAGTTTTTGTTAACATCTTTTGTACTCGGATGGAACCAAGCCCACACCTCTGCGCCGGGTGCTGCATCTGTAACAGGATAACCCCAGTTTTCATATCTCCACAGGCCTCCGGTAAGGCTCACGTGAAGTTCTTGTACGTTAAATCGTTCGATTATCTCTCCTAAGGATCTTGGGAATAGTCGACTATGATTGACTGAAAATGGATCAAATGAGAATATTTTAGGTGATGAACATTTTCAGAGGTCTTCAACATACATGTTTCTGTTTCCAAATCAATGTCCCACTTGTTAGAGAACTGGAAATGTGCATATACTTGTTCACTGTAGAGAGGTTTCAAAAGCAGTTCCTCTGTAAAACTATCTTTGTAGGTTAATACAAATGTTAAATGGGATAATACAAGCACTGCTAAATATATTTGATTCATTTTATCAATTATAATGTAATTTTTAGATTAAAGACTCCTCAAATATCAAATACACTCCATATCAACAAATTCAATTATTTAGAAAATTTGAATCCCAAACGTCAAAATCTGGAAACATAACCTGACTTTTGACTACTTCTTCTTCTCTTTTTTTATGGTCTTTGCTTCTCTTCGGCACAGTAGACCAGGACTTTTTATTACTGTACTTGCTTTGCCTGTCATTTATATTTATGGCTACGTTACCTGGAATAATTTGCCATTCAGGCTGTCTCACCTCAAACTATTTCAGTGCACGTGTACGAGTACGATATTGATCGTATCCCGGCGGACAACAATATATATAAAATACATATATAAGATTACAATGTACGGATTTTGTGCGGTAAACAACAAAACGAGAAAACGTGAATAAAAGTGACTCTCCGCTCCCTCGTCGATGAGAACAACCATGATATATGATTGGGAGGAGATACGCATGAAGAAGCTATTGTATAGCGAAACACGTGTTGCGTTTTTATAAAACTGTTCAGTGGAAATATCACAATTAAGTGTTTCTTGAATACATGATACATCAGTTCCCCTCGTCCTTGGAAGCGGAAAGTCTCATCTCAACTATGACCTCTCTCACCTCACCACCTGTTAAGAAAATGAATCATCAATTGTAATAACAACACGTAAATGATAATGAAATGGGTTTAGTGTCACCGACAAGACGAATGCCCAAGCTGGGAGCTTCAATAAATCGCAACACGGAAGCTGCCCTTCTTGCCAGGTATGTGAGCCGTTTACACAAAGAATTCTGAGTTTCAACATCGAAATGTTTGTACTGTCCGTGATTATCCACTGAGAAATCTAGTTGATTTCAAGATAAATGGGGCTAGACGTGTTCAACCAATTTGATTTCTGACTATGAAAGGAACATCAATCACACAACTAATACAGGGATTTATGTTCTCAGCCGTCAATACATTGAGCACACAATACTCAGAAAACTTTGAAATGTTGAAAATAACGTTAGAAATCATGACGTGTCACTTATTTTCGCAGCCAATATTCTTGTTGATTTTTTTTATCGCTATCCCTTGAATAGAATTCAATAATTTTTTAAGTACAAGTTATCATACGTGACACATAAAACGTGACCAACAAACAAAAAAAGGACAATCACTGGAGAATGGCTAGGTAGTCAAGGATCATCCTGACACAATTCTAATCATAGTATCATAAACAATGAAAGATAAGAAGAAGAATGGTTTCAAGTCAACCTCACTTTTTTCAAATAACAAGTGTTCTGGTCACAGTAGAAAAAACTGTCTGGTATCAGATTTTAATTCGTTGTTATTAAAAAGTTAAAGCTCTTAGTAGATTATAATTTTAGTATATTACATCTTTTTCATTTCATATTCCTTGGTTTAGCTCCGATCGCCTGAGAAAAACATATAAGATGAGTATTTCTCTTGAAGATGAGATGAAATTATCTCAAAATTCCATACAGTATTTACATAATCTTTCAACATCCGAAGAGCTTAAGGAACCCATACTGCAATCGGCATTTTCGTAAGTATCTTGTAAGTTTATTTGAAATATAATTTTATTGTTTGTGATAGATCTTTATGAAATGTGTATTTTTCTCCTAAGATTAAGTACTAAACTCTGTATTTATACGGATTGATTAGCATAAAGAGAAGACTAATAGAGCTGAGAAGAAACACTTTTCTACCAACAAGTGTAGTAAAAGGAAATCAAAGGTGCCCGAGATGTTTGCTCAATTGGTCGGAAGGACCTGCATCTTACAGAATAAAGTCCGGTCCGAAGAAACATGAATTTGCCAAGAAGATAAATTCAAAATTGAAACAAGGATTGGTTCTGACAAGTTATCAGACAAAATACTTCAAGAAAATGGATAATTTTGAAGGGAATTATTTGGTAAGTTTCAACGCAATTCTACAATTGGGCTGATGAAAGAATGCACATTTGTTATTAATTTTTGCATCCGATATGAATCCACAAAATGACACAAGGTTATGAAAACAGAACAGTATGGCTAATACTCCAAACAACCTAACCTAACCTTTTAAAAAAGAATTGCTTGTGTTTTTGAAATTCAGTAATAGTAAAAGCTGTCATTCATTAGCACCTTCATTAATTATTACGTAAAAACAAAAAACATCAATCAAACTGAAACTTTTCAATAAACAACATGCAAATTATATAAAAGGTCTGAAAATCAAATTAATTGTCGACAACTCACATTTGTCCGGCTATCTCTTTTTGATATACTGAATGTAAGATATCATTCAAATAAGAGCTATTAATTATTGATTGAAGATTAAACGCAAGCATTAACTGTCTTGTTTTTTTCATCGGTAGAAAAAAGGGTGCTACATAAAGTATTTGTTCTATTACATATTTTGTTGATGATGCATGTGTATTCTTCAGTTTCTCCTACTGTACTGTGTTGAAACCAACATTATCCATTAGACTAGGTATGGAAAAAACTATCATCCAGATGCTATGCTGTGAAAAACATTGCTAAGGAGGTGGGATCTCTATTATTTTAAAACTCTTGAAATCCCTACAAAATGAATGTATTATTTTTCTATTTATTTTATTTTCAACTTTATATGGCAATAATTCTTCTTTGACAACTACTCACAATTTTTTCCTCTTTAATTCTTATTTAAAACTCTTTATGTTCATTAAATACTTACTTTAAAGTTATTGTTGGTAAATGTTTAAATGAACATGTTATGTTTCTGGGGTTCATAAACATGATACTGCTTAAGTCTTCCTATTACGCAGATGGTAAATAATGATAAATTCCATTTACTGTATGGTACTGTATTTTGTGTGCTTGAGCAACTCTTACAAGATGATTCAGTTACACAAAAAAAGGTTGGAAAGATTTGGAATATTAACAGTTTATCAACTTTTTTTAAACTGCCCATTTATTACATAAAAAAGATTTTAACATATTTTGATTGATTGATTTTATAAATTAATTCATTTAATAAACTGATGAAAATGGAAAGTGAAATAATTCATGTTTTAATTTCAGGTTGTAACATGTAAATTTTGTCAAAAAGAAACCGACATAAAGTTAGAGAAACCAAAAAAAATTAAAAAATCAAAATCATCTACATTGGTGAAACAGAAGAAAAAGAAAAAACGTGACAAATTTTGTGGACTTAATCAAGATGTCGTTTTGTCACTCACACACCAGAAAACTCCAAAGCTAGACAATTCGGACACAGTTTCCTTGGATTCTGAAATAATGCATACCCCAAAACTGAAACTCAGTAAGAGAGACAGCGGTGTCCAAAAGGTCCCGACTCTTGAGAAAAATATTAAGGAAAACGCCAAGAAAAAGAAGAAGAAAAACAAAAATCTTAATAAATTGAGTGAGGTTCTCAACAGTTCTAATACATCTTGTAGTCCATCGACAAATCTTAAACATTTTCTAAAGGGTTTATAGTAAATAAAAAATTATGTAAGGTATAAATAATAGTTTTATTTTCTTTCACTAATATTATCATTTATAACAAAACCAATCACACAATTCATCATTGGAAACTCTGATTCACAGACTATATTAGTTATTAGTCTAAATAGGTTCACTCCAGAGGAATTTGGTCCATAACAATCTGAAAAACAAAAGTATGGGTTATAAATATTCCAGATCAGTGTTGATATGAAAAGTTGGAAGTGTGTTGGAACTATATCTGTCACCATTTAATTGAATTCAATCATTGATAGATATATATCTGAGATCAAGAGTAACAAGGAAGAATAAATTTTTTGACTAAAGAAATTTCAGACTCAGCGAGGTCATGATATGGACTGACTATTAAAGAGAGAACATTGACTCCAACAATTAAAAAAGGATGAAGAGATTGGCATTTACGTCACTCAAACCTTAACGTTTTTTACGTCACTTTGTGAAAAGTTTGGTCACATGGTGCTGTAACGTAGTGGCCAAGTGTAATCCACAACTAGAATATATGTAAAAGTAACGTCACGGCCAGTCCATATTATGATATCTGTGTTCAGGCTATATGTCATGTATTTATTCAGGATAGTTAAACGGCAACACCGTAGTAGCTGTAGTCTGATACTGTCAAACTATTGGTAATTTGAACTAAGAAATCGATTTCGGAATTTTGTTTTCACGTGCTTGGAATCTCATATTTTCATCATAGTACGATTTTTTTTTACTGGAATTATAGTGTTTCTAGATAACACAAAACTGCTTCCTTCAACTGATAATGATAACACAGTTCCGTTTTTCACTGATTTAGTACTGCAAACTACAATCAAATCTAAATATATATTTGAATTTATTTTGTTTTGACGTTTGATTTCATTATTGGAAGTAACTAATATTTTGACTCAGGGTTGCCATTTGATATTTCTTTTTCGTACTAAAGTATAAATAATTTTGTAACAAATTCAGCGATTTCGTATTTTTGTGTGTGTTCATGCTTCATATATATATATATATATATATGAAAGTTAAATTTTCATAAGCTTGCATAGACTCGCAAAACGGAAACCCAACTGCTATGCTCGGACAATTTTTGGTGTAGACTCAATTAATAAGTGAAAAACGGAAAAGGTCAACTTTGTGAAATAATTAAAATACATAATTGAATTATGAAAATGCAGTTAAAAATATTCTGTAGTGATAGAGATTTAATGGTAAGTCATGATAGTGGCAACTCTGTTTCTACAAGACGTGGCTAATATGACTGCACTGTCAAAATAGATTCAATGGTCAAAATTTAGGATCACATAATTGTAAAAAGATATGTATTGCTAGGAGTAAAATTCTAACACTCATCAGATCTACTTGGAAAGTAATCTAGACGATATTGAAATCCAACTCAACAAAAATTGTAAGAAAATGTGACATTACATTGACAATTTTATATCAAATAAGTATGGTGAGTAATTCAGAAACAAATAACCATTTATTTGAGATTTGTGTTTATTTTTATTCTTTTTACTGTGTGGTCATTTTCATTTTGATTATTTTACTCGTTTTATTGTATTTTCATTTCACGTTTCATTGCTTGATATAATTGATATTTCTATCATAGATTTCGAATCACATTTGGCTGTAATAGAAAATAAAACAGAAAAACTAAGGAAATCAAGTAATTTTTGTTGTAGAACAACTTAGTTCATAAACATAATTGTCATAGTAACATATAGGCCGGTTTTTCAACTATAAAATAAAATGCATGCAATTAGGCAACAACTCCTAAGAACTCCATTCGTAAATTGCAGATGTTTCAAGCAACAGTAAGCTAGTGAGTTGGGCACATTGACAGACTAGCTCTCCTAGAAGCGTCCCACGTACCTTTGCGCATATATCTCTGTACTCTGCGTCATTGCTCCATGCAGATCTTTCGGGCAGTTCTCTACCCCTCCTTCTCAGTTCCTGACCGACTTCCATCAAGTCGAGTATGGGGACAGGATCCAGCTTGTGTCTGCCAATGAGCCCAACTAGATATTCGATGTAGTGTAGCCTGCACACACACAAACGACATATTGTTAGACCGATCTGGAAGTTAGTACGCTGTTTCTTTTTCCGGGGATGCCACGGAAAGAATAATGGTATATGTTGATCGAACAAATTCCCTAGAAACATTACACAATCATTAGAATTATTCGATCTGGCCTGCAATGGCGTTGCTGTCTGGAGATCTTTATTGTTTCAAATATTTGTACGACCATAATTTACGTTCCATAATGAAACTCTTCTGACTGGAAAAAGAAACAGCATACGTTCTCATCTACCTGTTTGAGCCGCAGGCGGTACATTTCTCTGGGAGTTCCGAAACAGTTGGGCGGTAATTTTTTAGCGGCTCGTCTAACGACCGTTTCTAAATCGTCGGCGTTCAACATTTCTATCGGGTCGACTTTATATTTACGGATCAGTTGACACAAATATTCAATGTAATGGTGCCTAAAATTTTGTTAGTCGTGTTTGATAATCTTCGGTCTTTGACAATAAAACAAGTTACGGGAAAGTGACTTATCAAAAGTAACGGTCGAATTTGAAGTGCTCCATATTACTTCAAAGTGATTTCTCTGTTTGAATAATATTCTGGAGCATATCGTATACGATCGATGCTAATGAATAATCATGGTTTGAGGAAAAATCTGACAGCGTTATTTCGTTATTTACCTACAAAGACCCGCCTGGCCAGCGTTGACCTCATTGTTACAAATTGTATCCACTAAGCCACTTGGCGTTTCTTTCTGCAATGGCACCAAACACTTAAGTATCGCAGTGGGGTTATCTCCCTTATTGGCAACTTCTGTGTCGAATGTTACATTGTGATCCTGTAATAAGAAGTAAAGTATTAACATTTCAATCAGCGTTACTTCCATTTTTAGAAATAGGTGATGTGATGAAATTAAAAAAAACGATATAACTTTGTTTCATTATCATTAACCCTATCGTTTGGAGAAAATTGACAAATTTATTACGGACTACATATTTCATTATGGGAAATATTTAGAATTTACGTAGTGGGCTAGATTGGGAGGGGAAGATACCCAAAAAAAGTCAATGCAAAACTTTCGAGTCATTTCAAAATATAAAATATTGAATCATCCGAAACATCCCACACCTGACACCAAAATTTTTGTGGCGCTGTCTTCGGTCGAGCGGCAGCTTGGGGTTTTCAGGTTGCTGATCGGTGGTCAAATACTCAGAACTCTAATATTGGTAATTACTGAATTCGCCAATAAACAGGTTTGTCGTTAGTATGACAAAGTTAGTACTAGACACAATTTCTATTTGATGGAAAATATGGAAATACGTCATTGAACATGGTGTTTTTCTGCTACTTCAGCGTTATTGGTTTTCACCAAGTAACGAGTCAGTATTTATCCTAAACTTACCTTTAAGAGTTGTTGAAGTTCCTGAGGCTCCTTATCCCTCAAGTAAAACAAGCAGTTCCTCGGATGGTGGGCGTGCAATCCCAATTTGGCGCAGTACTGGCTTATGGTGCATTTGGCCCCCATCATGAACGGCTTACCGCAACCACTGCAGAACTCGTACTTGCATTGAGTGCACGTAAAGTGCATACACCCTCCTTTGGCAAGGGCATACCTGAATTTGCATTTAGGACAGTCGATTCCGTGCTCCGCCAAATGCTTCGCCACCGCTGAAGCCTGATTTTCCGGGTCGTTGGCGTCTTTCCACTGGGCAAATTTCTCACAGGTGAGGCCTTCGTGCTGCTTTTCCCACTGAAAAATTAGTGTGAACTTGGATATTGTGTTCTGTGTATGGGTTTTTGAATATAATTCACATAGTAAAATGCATTATTAGTATTATATTTAGTTGTCCTATTCGAGATTTCGGAATAAATGGTGAAAGAGATGCTGGTGGTTTCAACCTGCATGTGAAAATCAGTTCAGTCATTAGTTGAATGATTGTTGATTCGTAAGTATCCCTTTCATTTGAAGTGTTATCGCTACCTTTTTACACAGTTATGTCGAATCTTTCCACACTGTATGACTGACCCTGATAACTGCATGTCAATTATATGTTGCACTTGTCACTTGTCACTGCATCTTACTTATGGAAACTATGTGTACCGAAAATAGATGTTGCATTTCAAAAATGTTTGTATTTTCTTAGTTAGGTCGTGTTATTTACTATAACTACTGTTATTTTGCGGTCAACTGGCGAAATCGATGAATTTGAGTGTAAGCGCAGGCCCAAGCATATTATCATATTCATATTGAACGAATATATAACTTTTATTTGGTTATAACGAACGTATGAACTGATTTCATAAAGCCTGAAGCGTTTCTTTGACATATTCACCCAGTAACTACGACTTACCGGTCTTCTACAACTAGCACACGTAACCGACTTACAGTCAGGGCAAATCAGTCTCTTTTGACGCGGATGCGCGATGAATCCGGAAGAGCACTGAAAAAATCGCTTATAAAAATCGTCACTTGTCTAATAATCTCAAGTAACCTAACCTGTACGCACCACTTGAAATGCGGATCTTGCATCAAAGTTCTGTCCCTCAGTTTTCGTTGAAAAAGTTCGTGGACGGGTCCGTCTAGAATGCCCTTCAGGAGAATATCCAAGTTTCCGAAGTAATCGGTGACTTCGTCTTCGTGGATTTCGGTGCCGGTGAGATCGGGTAGTTTGCAAAACGGGCACGTGCAGTCCATGATGCTCCTGTCGGTGATTTGAACGGTGAAGTAGTTTTTGGCGCACTCCTGGCAACATCTGTGTGTGCATTTCAACATCGATACGATCTGAAAAATACTCAAAAATGTATTTTTCTTGACTATTTCAAAGAAAACACTTTACCTGGTTCATCTTGTATTTTCCGGCACACAACTCGCATTCTTGCTGCAAAAAAGAAATGGCAGCATCCAGCGAATTGCAGTCTTTGACCGCCTCGAGAGCTTCCTCAGCGGAAAACTTCAGCGCCATCAAACTCACAGCCAACTCCGCTTGTTGGTAGTTTGTAACCTGACCTTCGGCTAAAAATCTCCGAGCTTGTCGCTAAGGAAAAAACTACAGATAGGATCATTACCCAAGAAATGCTTCGCTCTAAAAATTGGAATGAAGAGGTGAAATATGAACATTGTATTCTTTTGACGTGTTTCAGCTCAGAACATTCGGGAAATAGAAGAGAATCTCTTTTCATGTAGATAAAAGATGAGGTTATTTTGCTGCTTGGAAGCTATTCGACTTGTCTTCCAATTTTTCGAAAACAGCTCCAAAACAAAGCAGTCAAGACAAATTGAACCACAAGTTAATGAAGGGCCTTTATTATTATTATTATTAAATGCATTGTTGGATTCAACTGTCGTTAAAGTTCAAGTCTGAGTTCAATTAAGCATGGATATCTCCCCATGGAAAAGCAAAGTTTTAATACGCTCTCAAAGTCACAAATGGCGCCGTCGTACACTTTGTTCTGTACTGACAAATAGAAATACACTTTAGACTGAAAGAACATCTTACGAATTGCTCATTAATGTTCTCTCATTGCCAGAATCAAGGGATCCACATTAATTAAACTAATTTTCTTGTCATTCAACAAGAGGTCAGCCAGACATTATTCCTTTGCTCTCCCATCTTTTTGATGAGTAAATTTGTCGAAACATTTCAACATTTTCTTATAACATTCAGATAGATAGTGTAATGTGTATAGGAATTCTAAACAAAAACATATTTTTGGAGACCTCAACGATTCAAATTTTCACATTCTCACCTCCATTAGTTCCAATTCACTCAGCTCCTTAACTTCTAGACTCGGTTCGCTCTTGGCGAGCTCCTCTTTGCTTTCCTCAAAACCGTCTTCGAAAAACTCCCCTTCCTCCATCTCGGCTCGATTCTCTTCCGAAGAAAACTCTTCAGATTCGCATGTTTCTTCGATGCTGTACTTTATCGGGACTTCTTTCAAATTGTTCGTAAGCCTGTTCACTCTTTTGCTTATCTGAGACAAATTTATATTCAGTTCCTTAGAGTTCTTCTTCTCGAAGTCTTCGTAATCTTCAGTGTTCGACTCGAGGACCTCCTCGTAGTCCTCAAACTCTTCATAGCTATCTTCATCTGTCATAGGGTCGAGTAGTTCCTCTACGTTGCTGTCTGAAACGGAAGAATCGCTGTCGTTGTCCAGAGACTTCGTGTAGGAGAGTTGTTTAGAGCTGGTCGTTGAGTCGAAAGAGCTTCTGTTGACCGCAGAAAGTTTCGCTTTGCTTGTTTTCTGTTGATTCTTGCTACAATCAGGTAGCGGTTCTTCATTTGTAGCAACAGAATTTACTCGTTCATCATTGGAAGGTTTGTCGTCTGGTGGTTCTTCCTTTCTTGGCTGTTTTACTTCGACACTTTCCTGAACTATCTTAGAGGTGCTTGATTTCTCTCCCATTGCTTGCGGAAATGTTTTTATTGGGATTTTACTAGCAGAAGGCGACTGAGGCTGTTTCAAGTCAGCCTTAGAGATTGAGCGCTGCTTCGGAAGTGGGATTCTAGAGGGCCTCCTTGCTATTGGAATTGTTGTTTGTTTATTTTGTGCCATCTGTACAGTGGTTGATGTTTTTAGGGATTTTTTCTCATGATCAGGTTCAGCAACGGGCACGACTTGTTTTGAAGCGTTCTCTGTTTCAACTCGACTTTCCTCTGTTGATTTTGTCGCCTTATCTTCTTTGCTCTCACTAATATCTGCCCAAGGTTTTGCATTTCTCTTGACATCTTCGTTTTCCACCACTACGTCTAATACAGGAGTTGTTGCAGAAGGTAAGTTTTCGTTGCTCTTATTTTTGAATTTAGAGTACTTCTGACTGTCGCTTTTTTTGATCGGTTTCCTTCTACTGAGTTTATTGGACCCTGCGTTTGTGTTTGCGCCTTTTTCTTCTACAGGTTCTTTGTTGTCTTCTGCCTCAATTTCGATTTTTGAATCATTTGTGTCCGCTTCGTCTTGTATTTCACTACTCGATTCTGTTGTACTAGACTCTCGATGCAAGGCTCTTTTCTCTGCACGTTTTCGGCTTTTCCTCATGCTCTTTTTTTGTTTTCTGGTTAATTTGGAGTTGTTTATATTGTTTTTTGTTTGAAGGCTCGGTGGTTTCTTTGCAGTACCCGTATTTGGGGGACTGATTTCAAAATCTTCATCATTTTTGACGTTTTCTTGATCCACAATCCCAGTATTCACAATTGTTTTTTTCGGAGATGAGGACACAAGCAGTTTCTTTGCAGAAATTCCTTGCTTGCTTTCCTTACTATCTTCTTTTACAATTTTTTCAAGACTCGATTCTCTGTTTCTTAAAGCATCATTTTCAATCAAGGGATTTATTTCTTCTGTTTCAACGATTTTCATTTCAGGTGATGTTATCTGCAATTGCTCATCATTATCGTTAGCTTCTAATTCTACTTCCACTTGATAAATTGATAATTCCTCATTTTCTTTTATTTGAACAATTTCAGCACTTGCGATCTCTTGGGAAGGTTTCATCACTTCCCCTTCTTCTACTTTATCGCTGAAATAATTTGATATATAACTTTCTGAATTGTTTTCATCTTCTGGTTTATGTTGGTCAAATTCATTTTCGTTGACAATGGCTTTTGGAACTACTGAAACATTTTCAACCACACTTTTGAAGTCTTCAAATTCTGAAGTATCAGTTTGCATCATTTGGGTTGAACTGTCGTTTAGATTTTCTTCTATTTCTTTTTTGGGTTCATTTTTTGGGATGCCCTCTGAAGACCATTTCTCTGTCTCATCTCCAGATTCTGTGGACTGACCCTGGGCTCCAAAACTTTCGTTTATTCTCTCCTCGGGTTTTTCATCAACTGTTTTTGTCAAACTAACCTCATTTAAAAATGTATCGCTACCAGCAGCAATGCCATCGACAGTCGGAAGAACTATGTTTGTAGTGAAGGTGTTGCTTATTGCAGGATTGGCAAGACTCTCATTAACATTTTTCTCTGAATTATAACTATCACATTGTGAAGTTAATGAAGCTTCACTCTCAAGTATTACATCGTGTTCGTTCACTTGATGTGCTTCATCAGATGTTTCAACAGTAGATAGCATGATATTGAGCGTACTTATACTAGTTTTTCGTGGATGTAGTGGATCCTGTGGACGTTCATCCATTTCCAAGCTAACCGGACTTCTGATAGGGCTTTCAACAGCGTCCACGAAGTCGAGATTCTGGAAGTCATCACTACTTTCACTTTCCGACATTGAATTTGTAGCATTATCGAAAGGAAGGGGTTGCTCTGAAGTTTCATCGACTAGTTGCTTGACAGTTCTACTTTTTTCCACGTAGACTTTGTTTTTCGTCATATTGACATCTTCCACGGTTTCATCTTCCAAAACAATAATTTTACTACTATCTTTCTCGGCTACTACATTGTTATCCTCCAAATTTTGAGTAAAGTTGTTAATGTCTTCTAAGTTTTTCATAATTTCATTTTCGATTAGTTCAAGAGAATCTAGTCTAACCTTATCTTCTAGCGAGCTTGGTTGCGTTGTTTCTAATTCATCTGAAACTGTGTTGGTGGAGGTACTTACTTGAGGGGAGCTGTTTATATCGAAAGGGGGACTTGTACTTACCGCCTTTGCTTCTTCTTTCGTATTCTTATCGTTCGCAGATGCATCTACAAAACTTGGTGTTATCAATCGAGCATCTTGACGAAATTATCACTCACCTTCACCCCTTATCATTTTAAGCGTCGCCCCCTCATTACCTGCCTCATTTTCAGTACCAACCGGCGGGCCCCAAATCCTCATCAAGAACGGTTTGAGTTGAGTCTTGCCCAATTCGTTAAAAGCCGCTTCCAAGTCACCTTGATTCGCCGTCAGCACTGTTAAGATATCCTCTCTACTGAAATCTCCTCGAGATGCCAAGTCTGCGTACTGAAAAAAAAAAAGAAAAAGACTTTGGAATTTTTGTAAACAAAGAAGCCTGCCACAAAATGTTACAAACTGTTTCTGCAATGGGAGCTACAATGTTCGATCACAAAAATTATTACTTTTCAAGCTACATCGGTTTCTGTTCATTCTTAAGATGACGTTTCACATTAATTGCTGAAACAACTACTATATTGACATTTGCATAGGAGTTTCGTGGTGGCCGTGGCAGAGAACGGACGTGCTGATAACGTCCGCTTACAAAGAAGGTACGCGGATGCTATGTGCTATCGTGGGGATACGTTTTGTGTTGTGCTGGTCCATTGTGTAGAATACTGAAATGTGTGAGCGTTTTTAAAAAGTGAAGTTTGAGGGCCCCCTTTATTCACGCCGGTATCCAGGCCGGGTGGTTCGGATAACCACGTAAAGGGGCAATGTATGTGAATTATAAATCCGAAGGTCTCCCGAAGAGGAGGCGACCCAATTAATATATATTTGAAAAAAACCAGAAGGTCTCATGAGCAGGAGGCGACAATAAAAAATATATTGTTTTTTATCATGAAAAGTGTGACAAAAAAGGGGTGGCAGCATTGCTTCGAGCAAGACCGCTGCGTCACCCCGACGAAGCTTCTGTCAAATTGATGTTAATTTGATAGGAGGAGCCTGGACAAATGCGCCCGAGTGGGAAGCAACGTCCATAAATTTAGAGAAGAAGAAGAAGACATTTGTATAATACCAACTAACTGCAATAAGAAATAACTGACCAAGACTGAATCAAGACTATACAAAGCTTTAAATAATTTTCAGTTTTTCCATACAAATTTTGAAATGATGTCACCTTGTTGTGACTAGCTACCTCTTCGAACAGTTATAGAGAATTTACTCATAACTGACCACCCAATAACTGACTGTATGATGTTTTGATGATCGAGCAGAAAGGCATAAAAATTAGAAGTATTTGTCATGAAAAATTGTTCTCAAATGAAAATTTAGTGTGTTGATACAAACCTTTCTCTGTCTCTGTTCGACGCACTCTTCCACAGCAGGCCACAAATCTCCTTGGTGTTTTCTGAGAGCCTCGCGGGCTTCTTTCTCGGAAACAGTTCCCACGATATTCATGGGTTCCTCGCGACCCATTTGGGTGGCCAACGTTCGAACTCTGCTTATGATTGAATCCCAATGTTCTTTCAACCATTCAATTGGGTTTGAGTCCTTGCAGTGCAGAATAGCCGCCTGGACTTCATCTGCGGTATACTTATATTGCTCAGCCTCCTTAAAACCACTTGATATGAGTACAAATATGAGATTTTGCTACAATGGTACTGTATATGTTGGTTTTTTACTATTTGTTTTACATTTGTACTTGATGACTCTTGCAGAAGAGACTATCAATCTATGTATTCAACTTACTCTCAGAAGTTTCACTAGTTCCATCCCTGAGGCTTTGAAGGCATCATGTCTGTGGAATCCATTTTCTATCGATCTCGGATAGTCTCTCTCTCCGTGCTGGTACGAATCTAACCTAAGGTGACTTGGATCGGAATGTTCCATCTGAAATGAATTTGATTCAATACCTAATCTCGTTCGAGGACTGAAGCATGTGATGAACTGAGACAATGTACGTGTTATAATCGGTTCAATGAAGGGAATGTATTAAAAAGGTGTTTGTTTCAACTCTAAAATCAAAGCCTTATAAGTGTCTTAAAACTATTTGTGCGAGAGGCTGAAAGTAATAGTATTAATGAAGCACCCTGTAATATCCCAAGTCATGATGGCTCGGTCTACGGTGGTGTTCCGGCTTCCTCAAGTCTAACGTACTATGCGTCAATCGGCCATTAGGGAGTTGCTGAGGTTTTCTCTCTTTTTCGTAACCTTTTTGGAAATACGGCTCTTCTTCGTAGTCGAATGGAATCGGACTGTGTTCTCTGCTGCCCGGTAAGCTCTAAAAACAGAGAAAGTGACTGGTTTCGTCAATAAATCAGTCAATAAAATTAGGTTTCGTACCTGTGAATCGGTGGTGATTGAGTGTCTACTTAAAGACCTATGTAACGACCACTCCGAGTTTCTTCTTTGCGTTGATGGCGCACGCAAAGACAGAGAACGGTTCAAGCAGCTTCGTCTGCTATTTCTACTAACTGATCTGGCTCTTGGCAACTGTGGGCTTCTAGAAACAGACATTTCTTGTGATTCTTCGAAAGTCTGAAAAATAGATTACATCAATGAATGATTATATGACATTATTGATGAGGAGAATAATCTATTACTTCTACTATGTGAAAAAAATTCATAATAACCGAAGTAAAACTAGTGTAGCTTCTCAATAGATTTTATGAATGTCCACAAACAAATTAAGGGCGTCATATATCGGTAATCTAGCAGGTCATTCTACGGAATCACGTTCCCCTTCTCACCGATTTTGATAATTATAATCTAGCCGCTTGCGAATCAGTCTGAGATAATGAATAAGTTCCTCATCTTGCTGGAACATAACATGAGTTAAATACTCATTTGGGTTCGTCAATTATTTGAACCGATAGACAGGCAGACGTGGTCCCACAGAATGACCCACTAGATCACCTGATATGATATCACAATCACAGTTCATTTCAGAACTCATGAGTAGAAAAAGAGGTGCTCACAATGAAGAGTCCATCATTGATAGGGAGAGAACAGTGAACATTTTGAACATTTTTTGGAGTGAATTCATGAGTTTTGAATACATATTTCCTTACAATTATAATAATTATTATTTGTTTGAAAGTTTCTATAATGAAATCAACTGCTAATTATTCGAGAACAGCTAATCCCATTCCCAAAATTACAAAAATATCAAATACAGAATCGACATGCCTATCAAACGAAGTATCACAAGACCTTCTCTTCCTATTTATTACTTTTATTCGTTTTCAATGGTTGGGTTAGAGTTTGTTACAATGGTATTCACTACAACTGACTCATAGTTTTCACGCTTATACACCAGTGTCTCCACATACCCCTTTTATGCAAGTTCTACATCAAAGATCCCTAATTTTCGAGTATGTTATTTATTGACTTACTTGTGTTGACATATCCTGAGGTGGCGGAGAAGTCCCAGTCGAAGTGGTTACCATTTTTTTCTCAGATTTCTCCAAAGCGTAGCCTTCACTTTTATCTTTCCCGCCTTTTTTGCACTTCAAAGCTACGGCGGTTTCCTCACCTAACGCATTATTCGGTACTTCACTGAAAGATGGTACGTCCTCACTAATCAAAACACTTCGCACCGACCCGTCAGATTGCACTTCTACACTCTCGTTTATCCGCTCCATTTCACTCGCACTTTCTCGGGACTCTTCGGCTCCTACAACAACGGGAAGACGTTTACATTAGTTACAGACACAACCACACACGTTTTAGTATTGTTAACACACGAAAAAAAACGGCATACAGGTATGAGTTCTGGATTATTTGTTCGGGAAGGAGGCAAACTTGGTTCCGGGCCAAAATGATATCTTTCTACTGGTCCTACCTTTCTTGGTATCTAGGAGCGCAGGCCTGGCGGGGTCGTTGGATATTTTCAATCGCTCAAGCTTGTTTCGCACGGACTCCGTCTCGCTGTTGTCTTTACTGTAGTCGTCGCTGGAGAGGTTCTTCTGGGCCGCAGTTTCTTTGCGACTTGGGGGTTTCTGTTTCGGGACAGCACGTACTTTCTTGGCTTCGCTCTTGACAACTTTGGCACCCGAAGTCGGAGTCTTGCAACAGACTTGACAGACCCTCGTGCCTGCCTCATTCACAAACGTGCAATGTTCACATTCCCAATCGGCGTCCGGTACTTCAATTTCAACCGGTTCCGCCTTGTTGTCGTACTCCGACTCTTCGTTAATAACGTCGCTCTCCTTCTGACTTTCGGAGAGTTCGTCGTCCGTCTCGCTCGAAGAGCCCTGTCTGCTTCTAACCACGGACCCTCTTTCGATTCTGTCGATGGTGTTCCTTCTAGCGACTTCCCGAGGCATCGAATTTCGCTCTCTTGTGGAAAACCGCCCCAAAGACTTCCTTTCAGTGTGGCTGAAACTCGACCTCCTGTCGTCCAGGTCCCTTTCGTCGTCCGTTTCGTCAACATCCCTGTATTTTTTCCTGCTCTTCCTGCTTAGGGTCGATTTCCTGGACTTGACGCTGTGCGTGGGCGAGGCTGGTCTCGAGTGGCTGCAGGACCTGGAGTCGTGAACGTGATTGACTGGCACAGGATAGGGGTACATGGTTGATGGCGGCGCTCCATGCCAAGTGCCCATCCACATCGGATTCATCGGATAACCTCCGGGGACGACGTTCAAGCTCATGTTACTGCCGCGGTGGTCGTCGTAGCCCATCGGATTTATCCAACCGGTCGGGCAACATTGGGGAGGGTAGTTGAGTTGAGCCATGGATTGTGCCTGCAACAAATGAGACAGGAATATATGGTGGTAGATACTATGATCAATTTGAATTTTTCACTGATTTTTCTTCAGAAAATATCAGGAAGAGAATCTTAGAATCTTGATAGTTTAGATTTTTTCTAGGAAAAGGACGAAAAGAAAAAACAGATATAGTAAGAGAGAAAGAAATCATCGAGTAAATGAAACAAATGTCCTGAGGAGTTTCTGGAAACTTGCTGTTTTCCGTTAATCAGCTGTCACCCTCTACGAACGACAACTCTGAAAAGTCGAAACTTGTGCGAGCTAAGGACTACGGGGATCTTACCTTCTAACGTGTGATTCCTAACACGGTTCCCAACTTATTGCTACTTTGAAGAAGTCAGAAAAATGAAATGAAAAGATCGTGATGAATGAAATAACTGAATTTACTCACCTGTTGCATCGGTAAAAATCCGTGTTGGTAATGATGTAACATGGGATTGTTCAGGTCGAACACAGAAGCGCTAAGCGGTACCCCTCTCGAGTGAGGGGGACAAGAAGTGTTGCTGAGTTTCCTTTGCACCCTGTTTCCCACGTCCGATCCGGTTATACTTCCGCCTCGAGTGTGATGTTTTTTCCATTCATCCATTTCCCATTCTGGATAGCCGCTGTCTCTGCTAGAAGGCTGTAGAGCGAATTTTTCAAGTATAAGTATGCCTCATCCTGAAGTAGAACTCAATATAGGAAATATAAGAATTGGAAAAGATTCAACCATAAGGGTTCAATGTGTTTCAGACAAATTCAAACTCCACCAAATGAGTCTAGCTTCTTACAGAACTGATTGGTCTGAAACTCTTTATACGATTCAGAACGACAGTAACCTGCTACGAGTAGGCCTGTTAAGACAACGTAGGTAAATTCCTGCTGTAATCTGACATGCTTCGCAGGATGTATAAATGTTTTGTAATGAATCAATCCCGGTAGATTTTACCAGAAGTCTTGAACTCTTTGTGGTGTTTGTATGGTAAATGGTAATGCCAATGACAGGTTCTACTCCGCTTGTAGCGCCCTCTCTTACATGGAAGTCAGCGCTTCAGCAAGCATGGCCAGGAAACCAGAGCTCAGACAATTTGTTCAGCCATTCTTTTGAATAGAGTCTTTTTTAACGGTTCACTCACAGTTCATACATTATAATAAAAGTGTCAATAGAATCACGCCTTGAGGAACCCAACAGTTTTCATGCTCATTTCTCATTTATTCATAACTTACATAGATCAATTAAATATATTTGTTCTTCAATATTAACGATAATGATATTTTGAGGATGATATGAAATTACCTGATCAAAATGCGAAACAGTCGACGACAAATTGGGGGTGGGTCCCTTCATCGCAATTTGATGTTGCCTGTATCTCTGCTGAAGGGATGGACTAGGACTAGGGGGTTCGAATTGCTTGAAGTCATTCGAATGAGTACTTTTAGAGAAGTCTGATTTAAATGCTGCAAAAAATTGTATCGATTAGGATTTTTAAATTCGAAAGTTCAAAACATAACTCATTGGCAAATTGCCGAAAAGGCAGAGCCATGAGAAGAAGAAGAAGAAGAAGAAAACATAACTCATGTCTATTACTAGAAATAATCAATAATTTGTTCAGGAATATTTTGAATTGAACTTATAGGAAAATTGAACTAAGTCTTCACTTAATAAGAATAATAAAAAAAAAGGAAACCACTTACATCCTTCATTCGGCGATTGAGGTGGCGGCGGAGGCGGCAGTGGTCTGCTCCCCATCAGACCCCGTTTCAGAGTTGACATTTTATCCTTCAGAGAAAATCCGGTGCTGTCCCTTCTAGGCATAGTCGAGGATAAAACCTAAAAAATAACCTATATTATCGCTTCAAGTTTCACAGGTTTCTTCTTAATTACCTTTCGTAAACTAGGATCTGGTGGATACATGAAAAGCTTACTACGCAGGGAGAAGGTTATTTACAAAGTATTTTTCTAAACCCATCGCCAAATGTTTCAAGAATGATATTTTTTGTAATATTCTTAAGAAGTTAATGCTAGGGCAGGCATTTAGGTACGATGATTGCGTTGTTAAGGTGTAGGTATGGAAACCAAAAAACAGAAAGGATTTTTATCAAATTTGTCTTTTTTGTGATATCTTTCTTCTCTCAAGCATCTCATACTCTCGAATCTTAGGCAGCACTTTGGAATTCTATTAAGTTGAGTTTGTTATAGTTATGATCTGAAAAACGTCATGTCTCAACTATCAATCGTAATAACTTTTTGAACATTTTCGGGTTTTAATATCTCAGATAGACTGATTAAAACCTTTCCCACCTTCAGTGGTTCCATATCCGAAAGTTTTTTCTTATATATCGATCAATTCCTGGGTGGTTGTCTCTAGACCAAGTTATAAAGCTAAATATTCGTTGGTTAATTCAAGCTAGGTATCACTGTATTAATAAAAATATAATGGAGTAATAAGTATATTGAATATGTGATGAAAATTGCGAGGGCAGATATTTACGCATGAAATAATTCCATTTATGTACATGAAATTTGCTATATGTGGCAAATATGAAGAATAAACATAGAATGGAAACAACCTGACGCTGGTGTAGATCTCAAATGAATGCTTACTTCACAATAAATCTTATTTTTAGTCAAAACTGTGTTGTAAATTTATTTTTCCCGTTTTTTACTGGGAAAGCGGGAAAATTTGAAGATTTCTCCATTTCCCCTCCCAACAACAAAGTTCTTCTTCTTCTTTTATGAACAGCCCTGTTTGGAATCGATAAATGTGGGTGAGAAGGTTATGTTACAATAACGGCCATTGATGACGATTTTTTGCCCTTTCTTTCGGCTTTTGGGATCCCAAAGAACAACGTGATGGAACCACACAGCAGGAAAATAGCAGTGTGATATGAGAACATAGACTTTCACGGCCTAAGCTAATGTTCCAGCTTGATTATATTTGAATGGTTTAGAAATACATCATCCCTAAGAGGTCAAAGTAGTATAAGTAAAACGTTTTCTCCTCAAACTTCGAGACCATAGATCCGATCGCAATGTTTTTAGCGGCCATTTTTATATATCAAGCTAATAATTTCATTTTTTACGTACATATAAAAAATCTTATAAGGCTTTGAATTTAGAGTCAAAATCTCCTCATTAACAATTTATTTTATTTGCCCCATATTTACAATATTGTTACAACAAATATGTTTTTATTGTTGAATAATTGAAATTTTTGCAACACCTACTAGCTTAGACAACTAAACCAGCTGGTATTTACCTGATTGCGTCTGCCAGGAGTTGGGCTTGGGCATGGCGACGGTCCCATCGAACCGGCCCTGCGGTGGCGTCGAGGAGGCGGTACGGGGGCGGAAGGAGGTTCTCCTTTGGGCGGCAGAGGTGGTCGAATCGACTGCTCAAGTCGCTGAAAAAAAATATAGGGATGTTCGAATATTAGGATGTTTGAAAGAGGTGTTTATGCGAGAACGTCGAAGTGTAGAGACACATTAAATAAATAATTATGCAGACAGATTCTGTGTGACACCCGATATAGTACATTGAAGTCCAATAAATTGGTTAAGGCTTTTGCGGCCGAAATTTTCGGTGTAAATGTCTTCATTCGGGTTTGAAGGCCGTCGTAGTTTGGAACTGCATCCTAATGTTTCGCTAGCACGAGTGGCTGGCTTCTTCAGGGGTTTATTCATCTTGATGATTCACCTATGACTGCATTACATACAAATAATCACAAAAACTACAATTTGATAAAATAAAACTCACTCTTCTGGTGTGTGTTTGTCGCTTGGGATGTCTGTGGTACATGTCGTCGCAGGATAAACAAAATATCTGGGCGCATTCCTCGCAATTAACGGATGGTGCCGACGAACCACACAGCTGGCAATGTTTTCCGGTTTGATTGGAATCTGAAAACTCTTTGCATTAATCATCACCCAGTATATCTGTAGAAAGGAAAAACTGTGCAACACAGCGATATCATCTTGCCTCATCAATAACACTTACAAATAATATTAATCTCTTAATGCGATAGTGTGTACAATATTTTTCATTACTCCATGTTTGGCCTAAATAAACAAACTGGATGGTTTGCCCACTCGAATCCAAGCCACGAACGGACATTGTTTGACCTTGGGACTTATTAATAGTCATTGCAAATGATAATCTATATGGAAATCGCACACGTTCAAAATGAATTAGAACATGTATATGTATAATAGGCACTCGTGTTAATAATATATTTTCACCTCGGTACTTGGCCGATTTTGTATAATATATAAAGAAAAAAAGATTGGAGTGGAACACCCTTATAATTTAGAGGTATGAAAAATAGATTAAAACCTATTCCCAAACCTACTGAATATACACATAAAATTTCATGAATATCGGTCAAACAGTTTTCGATGAGGATGGCAACTAACACTGCCACTGGATGGCAACAACTAACAAATAATATATTAGATAGATTTGTGTAACTACAATGGAACAATTTGTCCGATGATAAACATTCAGATTTTGTCTGAATTCGTAGAATTTCAATGTTTCAGTTTCTCTTGGAACCATTTTGACAATTAGTCAACACTATTTTTTCAATTTACATCCTCAAGTTTTTAATATATATTCTGAATGTTCTCAATATTTTTCAAAATAATCTCTTTTCGAATACTTGAAAATATATAATAAGAAAAGTATATTCGAATTTTAATAATTGATTAGAATTATTTCTTAATTAGAATCTACATCTATGGTGAAGATAAGGATCACCTACTTGTTGTTTTAGCTGATGGAAGTGGTGTATTGCAATATTGTCCGAACTCTATAACTTCATAATCGGGTTCTTGTTTGGCTTTGATTTTATTGCTCGAAGGCTGCATTTTTCTCGATTCCTCTTTTGGTACAGGTGGGGGTGGTATACCACTAGCTCCGGATTTATTCTGTAAATAAAAATAACGGTTTAACACCACAGATTTCAGTGTTCTGTGTTTTGTAATTCAACACCAGTAAATCCATTTTAAATAATTCAAATGTTTTGTATACGTTCACTCGGGAGTATAGACACGGCAACTCTCAAAAGATACAAGCGTGTGAATAAGTATGAGTTCTGTGGCTACGGTTCATGGCCATATTAGAATAAACAAATGGTTACTGTTAATTGTAACGTGACTAACAGGACTGTTCGATGCCGTGAAATTCAACTATGCTTGTGTGAATTTAGCAAAATGTTTTCGAATAAAATTGCTAAAACAAATCCCGGAAAAATTGAAATATTTGAAACATTATGATGAATGTAATAAATCATGGAAACACATAACATTTTCTATTTACGTTGGATTTAGATACGGATGACCGATGGAATTATATCGTCTCTGTGAACTATTCGCAAAAAATACAAAAGTACCTCATCAAAGATATGAGAATATGATTCTAACAATATTTGAACTATTTTGGTGTAACTTGCTCTAATTTTTATATAGTGTTGTTGATGGTCGGTTCAGCTTGCAGCAATCATTCAGTACTACAGAAACGATACTGTAGAATGACTGGCTTCAAGTCTGAGGTGAACATGCTGAATAATTTCTTTTGTTAATTCTCAAGACTTTTATTCATTCAATATGTGAACTTTATCGTAAGCAAAACACAAACAACCCTCAAGTTCGCAAGTTTCTTTTTTAAAAGAAAATGACATCTGACACTAAACAATAAATTGATCGCATTGAAATGTGCCTTAAAAGTATGAACGCACGATGCGTCCATTTTTCAACTATAAATTGTAATGTAATGTTCTACATACTCCATGGTTGTTGTGTCCTGTGTCTGTAACTCTGTTGGGCTATGTTCCAAGCTTCGACAGAGGTCAAGAAGGTGAGGTCGATGTGATACATTCTGGTGAGCAAATTATAAAATATTGAGAAGCAAATAAACCCAAATAAAGGATCTCAGAGTTTTATTTGCATGATATGACATAAATTATTTGAGTAATTCGGTCCCAGTATTTTTAATAACTCCAACATTTGATATTATTTAATGTCATCAAGAACGAAATGATTTGTGATAGTATTACAAATAGGGAAAAAATTGTAATCATAGTCCAGTATATGAGTTTAATAAAACTCAACCAATAGCTTTACCTAATTTACAAGCTGGTTACATATGTAATCAACATATAAAATCAATATATCCGTTGAAATTATAAAAAAGTGAGGATTAGGGAGCGCGTATCAGAAACATCAATCATTTCGACTGCTTATAAGCTATTCTGTTCAAGAAGGCTGCTGACTCTAGCCTTTTTTATATTTACATTTTTCCACCTCTCCACTTTCCATGATTGTGTGTCCCTTCTCCCCTCTATGGCATGGCATAGGATAATACCCGGTAAATGTCACATTTTTCTGTCAATTCATCAGCATTGTGCAATATGATATAACTAATTAAATAAGTATATCAATTGATTGAAAAATATGAATAGAGAAATATCTTCAAATATAAACTGCAATACAAAGGGTTTACTTGAACAGGTTTCATATAATGTGGAACAGTAGTTATACTATGAGCTGTTGTTGAAATTTTAGTCAACATTTATAGATACAAAGAATAATGAATAGTCAATCGAGAATGTATCTTTCAATTCAAACTCACAAACTATTGTATAACATGTGATCTACTGTTTTCAATAAACTCTATTTCAACACGAAAAAGAAATGGCAACACTGTCAACTTCTTGTTAGACACCGGAAAAAGGAAGACGAAAAATATTTCTAAAAATAGTTTAATGGAAAAGTATGTGAATTTTTATTTTTAGTTATTTATATTCATAGCTTTGTTATTATGATATGAAAACTGTAGTAATGAGAAGTACCAATACATAGTATATACGAAAGATCTAAATTCCGAGCAGGAATCTGGTTATCTGGCGGTAAAGTTTGAAGGCAGGATATTTCTTGTCTTAGTGTTGGCGACTCTGAGACGGTATTTTTTTCATGTTGTGGTGAGGTGTTTAATATGGCGCACAAGTTGACAAAGCTTTGACAGTTTTATCATAAGAAATATCGTTAAATACTGTTATTTATTTTTCATGACGATGTTCACCTTACCCAATTTTTGTCGCGTGTGTCTGAAGTACGACAAAAATCTAATAGATTTAGGACACATAGAAAACGAACCCAGCGAAACGCTGATGAGCAAGCTACAACTCTGTGTATCAGAAGTGGTGGGTACTTTTTTGTTTTTATTCCGTTAAAAACATGTCATGATTTTTTGTTCGATTGCAGGAATGGACCGTTTTCAAACCTTTGTTATGTCATCCCTGCATAAAACGACTGAACATAGCTTACAGCTTCAAAAAACAATGTGTGCAGTCTGCTGGTGTACTGAAAAATTACGTCGAACTTGTGAAGGAATCTCAGAAGAAGGCTGAATCTCAGAACGCAGTTAAAAGTGAAAACGTAGCCCCCGCGCCTGGTGGGGCCTACATGCTCCTCCCTAACCAAAAATACGTCAAAATTCTAGTTGGTTCACAAAACCAAGTCCCCAATACCTTTCAGAATGTGTTTTTAAATTTAATTCCGGCGACTACGCTTAATTCGGTTCCTCCTCCGCCTGTTCCAACGGAAGTGAAGAGTAAAGACACTAACCAAAACGTATTTCTAAATCTAAACAATACCTTTCAAAAGTTCATACCTGTGCAGCAACCAGTTGAACCTCCTATCCAGAAGAGAGTCCCAGACCCACCGAACCCAGGAAATTTGAATCTCAATCAGCTCCTAACGGAAACCAAAACAGAAGAACTGAGCGTCGAGATTGATCCCACGGTTTTCGGCTTGGAAGAAGATGAAGAAAGCCACGAGGAGGAGGAGGAGGTCAACGACTATGACGAGGTCATCTCGTCGGCCAAAATTACACTGAAAGACTTTAAAACCAATGGAGAAAAAACTCCCAACGGCAAAGAAGACCAAAAACACTATGTTCCTATACTTCCTAAGAACCAGCATGATTTCCTCTCATCCGGTCAACACTTCCTGTTCAGCTCGACGGAAAATGCTGGTGCCTTCGTCTGTGAATCATGCCAAAAACAGTTCACAACTAAAAAACTGCTGAAGGCCCATATCAACCAGTTCCATCTCGGGAAACTTCCGTTTAAGTGCGAGTATTGCTACACGGAGTTCGCGACTAGAGCAGAGTATGACTTGTGCGTGGACGGGCATCGATCTGATAACGAGGCCTTAGATAAATCTCTAACTTTGCAGGACTTTGCTAACTCCTCTCAACAGAGCTTGAATGATTCTCAGTTATCGGAGGTGGAAGCAAACGTACAGCCTACAGAAACGGGAGAATTCGTTTGCGATGTCTGTGGCAGGCCCTTCAACAGTTCGACTGGTCTACTGAGGCACAAGGTGAGGAAACATAATCAGAAAAATAAGAAGAAATACTTCATCAAGGGTATGAAGAATGCGAAATGTGATATTTGCAATAGAGAATTCTCGACGCAATCCTACATGCAGTTGCACAAAAAGTTGCACCTCAGGGACGACATCGGTTATAAATACAAAGTTTTCGGCAAGAGCAAGTACGGGGAGCTTGATGCCGCCGATGAAAAGGAAAAGGTTGAAGAGAAAAAGGGGAAGAACGAAACTCAGGACGATCAACTGGCAGAAAACCTCGACGTCACACCTGATATTTTCACTGAAGAAGATAGGAAATCTGACGAGGACAGTAACAGTAAGGCAGAGTTGAATAACCACGTTTTAGACAAGGATGGCTCGATAAAAATGGAAATTGATGAGGAGGTCTCCAATAATTCAGAGGATAATTCTCAGAACGAAGAGAATTCGAATCCCGAACACTCCAATGCCGAAGATACAAGTGACGAGAAAGGCATAAAAGAGGACGAGAAAGATTAGGCATAGGTGAGACTCTAATTTCATGTGAAAATATTTTGATCTGAGGTTCGATTAAGAATCTATTATTTCTAGGTCACTAGATAGATATTTTTAGGTGGTTCCTTTTTCTCGTGTTGTGTAAATGTAAATTTCAGAATCGAATAAGAGTGGAGTTACTCAATCATTGAGGGGAATAATACAAGAATTATAATAGTTTTTTCATTATTCATATTACAAAAAACAGTTGGCTAATAATTTTTGTTAAATTAGATCATAAAACCACCAAATAAGTGAGTACTATTTTGAGAGAGCTTGTGATATTTTATGCAAATGGATCACAGGAGGCAAAAAATTCATGGACAAGTCAAATCATGAGCAAAAGAATATGATGTATCCAGCAAGGGACTTGTAAAAACTGGTACAGGCCACAAGAATGTTAGATTGATTGTTATGAAAAATGCAGTCCATGAAGCTAGTGTTTTCTGGAGACTTGGAGAAATGAACAAGTCAGACAGCGCTTATGTACTTACTAGAAAAAAAGTACCATTTCAATATCAGCAGGGGAAAATGTTTCTCATTCAAAGAAGAATACTGACGCATTACTTGGTGAAAATCAGTAAGACCATTTATGAGTATAATTACATTCTTACAAGAGAATTTAAAGAATTTAAGCCAAGGCAGGTCCATGTATTTTTTTATCACGAAATTGGGTTCTACTTGAAAATATTCTATCTGTATCCAGAAATTTGTTATCTTTTTGAAGATTTGTTGTGGTGAGTCAAAAAAGACATCTGTTGAAACAACATGGTATATTTTCTATGTCATCATGTCATGATCGTTATAAACGATCAGATATTATTATTATTATAAACAGTGACAGATTTTCCTAACTTTGTTTTAAATTGTTTTTTTTAGACTCTCGATGCAAGTATTTTTGTTTATTTCAATTAGATCAAGCAACTTTATACTTCCTTTTACGAAATACTGCTGAGAAGGTAATGTCAGCTCTGAAAGTTTACAAATCATCTACGAGGGCTGTTAAAAAAAAGGTGAATGTTCAAATTTTGCAGACTACGTACATTCGATTCGCGTGATGAATTATGGGTGTATCGTTATGATATCGAAACCAAAGTCCAATCGTCCCAATGGAAGAACCCAGGAGAGCCAAGACGGAAGAAAGCACTCCAACTTTGATCGAATGTCAAAGTTTTGCTATATGTTTTCTTCGATTACCTTGACATAGTGCATCAAGAGTTCTTGCCTCATGGTCGTACGGTCAATAAGGGGTATTATCTTGAAGTTATGTGCCGCTAGCTTTTTGAAAAACAATTCATGGCTTTTGCATCACGATAATGCACCTGCTCACTCTTCATTGCTTGTTCCTAATTTTTTGGCCAAAAACAACACCTTATTCTTGCCGCAGCCACCGTATTCGCCAGATTTGGCCCCTTGCGACTTTTTCCATTTCCCAAGATTGAAGAGACCTGGGACCTCGCACACGTGTATTATATCTGAGGTGGACTACTTTGAAGAAGACAAAGTGGAAATGAATAAATATTTTTTGAGAAAAATGAAAATTCACCGTATTTTTCAACAGACCTTGTATATCATTCGGTGCATTATTCTTCAAGTGTGTTTGTATAATTGACCAATGTCAATTGAAATATGTTTTGCTTTATCTGTATTGAAGAAACATGTCTCAAGTTTCCCTTACATAATTTGTTACAATACTAATTTTTCAATGATTGAGATCTTCAAGATACTGCAAAAATCCACATTTTTTATTTGAATGCTGTGAAATCAAAGATTGTATCATTTTTTAAATTTTTTTTTCAAGGTAATTGAAAGTATGTTCTTGAAATTCAACAGATTCCAGCGGAGCTCTCACGCTTGTGTATGCCGGGAATGTGCTTCTTGGGATGAACTGAGCTTTCTCGAATTTGCATTTGAAAAATGCTGCCGAGACATTGTACAAAGGATATATTAGGAATGAAAAATTGTTATAGTTTATTGTCGGTTATTCACTCGATGAAAAGATGCCTTGTATTATATTAATGCATTCCCAGTTTGTATTGAATTGAATTTTCTTGATGCTGTGAATCGATATCTTAGTCTTTGATGGAGTTTCTGGATGTCCATCTTCCAGGAAAATGGTTTTCATTGCGAAAAAGTGTTGAATTTTCGAACATACGAAACTCTCGACTCGAATTCGCAGAGTTCATGAAGGAAGAAATCTGAAAGAGTTTGGTATGTAGGGAGGGCGTGAGTAGTTCATTTTTCTCTATTAGTCGCAACAATCTTGATATTGTAATTGTTTAATGAAAATCATATTATTTGATTGCACTTATTGAGTAGACTGTAATTTAGTTTTATTATTAGCTTGCTGCATCTCTTTTACGGTTAGATTTATTTTAAATACATTAAGATTTTATATACCTTCATAGTAATAAGACAGGTTTATACATATGTAATGTATATAATTTTTTTGCTTTTTATCAATTATTGTAAATTCACTTGTGAGCAGAGGACTGTGCGTTTTGGAATCGACTGACTTCTAGCCTTTACCATATCTGCATCAGGCGGCAACGTTTTTTTTTCTTTGAAATTTCGACCAGCACGTTGTTGTCTGATCGGAAAATCCATTTTTTCCTAACATTCTGATAGCAGTATTTATTAATATAATGGTTACTGAATCTGCGTTATTTTTTTTGTCATATATCTAGATATATATGTAACTACAAGTAAACACAAACTATGATTCAATCAGACTTTTGTTTGTGCAGTGATGAAATATACATAATTTTTGAGAAATGTTTGAGTATTTATTCAGATTTTCTTATGGAACTTGCTCTATTCATTTCCAACTATGTTCACCAGCGAAAGGAATTTGTTAAATTTTATTCACCCATAAATTCCACATGTGCAATTAGGATATAAAATTGAATAAATTTTATGTATAATTATCGCTACAGCCTTTAAAGACTGCTTGATCTCTGTTAAAGTATGGAGTGTTTCTGCCCTGCTTGGGGATTTGTTCACGAGTATCATTTCAGCATGTTCCTGCTGCTGGATGAACGAGAAACATCTAAGAGACTAACTTCTATAAAGTATCTTGCATAAATTTATATCGGACATAATTCAATGTCCAGAGTGGTATTAGCTGGGAAAGTAGTTGTTTTTCGCCATGCATTTACTAAGACTTACGGTGTAGGTAGTTCTGGTGTTTATCAGACGTTTGATTGAGTCAATCATAAAATTTTATTAAAGAAACTTCATAAATATGGATGTAGAGGTGTAGCGAACACTTGGTTCGAATCGTACCTTTCAGGTCGGAGTCAAATGGTGAGGACAACGGAACTCTCGGAGAACAGGCCATTGAATCTGATGTACCACAGGGTTCTTTGTTAGTTCCTTTCTGTTTCTGCTATATATGATTGACATATCTATGATTAACATATCTGATAGTTTCGCTCTATTCGCGGATGATACTACAATATTTTTGGAAAGAAAAAAACTCAATGGAGCTAATTAAAATAATATCATCCGACTTGAAGAAGGTGAAGAGCTGGTGCGATGCAAATTTACTCTCTGTAGATGCATCCAAAACGAATATAATATCATTCAAATGTTCGCTTGATGACATTTCAATAGACATATTACAAAATAAAAACAAAATTTCTCGGTGTATTCATTGATAATAGGCTGAAATTTGATGAGCACCTCAAACAACTGAAGAGTAAGATGAGTTGGGTTTCCATGTCGCAAAGACCGTTTACAATGCACTTATTGAATCTCGATTACATTATGGAATACCTTTTTGGGGAGCATGCAACTCATCCCTTCTCTCTTCTGTATTGATACTACAGAAGAGGGCACTAAGATGTCTCTGTAAAGTTAAACCCAGAGAATCGTGCAGGAATTTGTTCACTGCCAATAAAATGTTAACAGTCATCGCACTTTTTATCTTAGAGACAGTTTGGCTTATTTATAAACATAAATCGAAGTTCAACTTTGCTTCTACTCATTATGCTACTCGCAATAGCAATAATACCTTTAGACTTCCCATCCCAACTTCGAATTTAATCAAGGATTCCATGTACTACAATGGTGGTAAATTGTTCAATCAATTACCATTAGAAATGAGATCTGCAAATTTAAGCAAAGTTCATTTCAAAAAGGCAGTGAAGAACCTACTTGTGGATAGACCCTATTATAGTTTGGAAGAGTATTTTAACGAATCCTTTCAATAATATATTAGCAATATATTACTAAAATTTTTACTACTATTGTACTATCACTTTATACATGGTGGTATTTTATCTATACATTTTTAGAACTTTTTTTTTTATTTTACGTTTATACATTTTTGGAACTTTTTTATATCTACATTTATACTTTTTTAGTACTTTTTTTATTATAAATCCCCTTTATTTAGCAATGAAACTGCTAATACAATACATTTCATAAATGACCTGTCTGAATTCTTTTCTGAGTGTCACATAACCATGTTTGCAGATGACACTGCAATTACTGTGGCCGACAAAAACGAAGTTGAGTTGTCAGACAAAATAAATAAAATAATAGATAAATTCAGTGCTTGGTGTCAACGCAACAAACTTATTCTGAATAAATCTAAATCTGTTTCAATGAAATCATTTATTAGGAAAAATTTCAGCAGTGACTCTTCCACAATAAATGGTATTCGATCTTCCAGCGAAGTCTTGTTTTTAGGAACGTCTTTAGACGAAAATTTGACCTGGAGCGGTCATATTCAGAAGGTCTGCAACAAACTCAATTCCGCATATTACTCAATCAAACAATTGAAAAACACTCTAGATAATTTTGGATTGATGAATGTCTATTTTTCTATGGCTTATTCTCACATCAGCTTTAATATCATTTCTTGGGGATGTGCAAGGGAATTTCCACGAGTTTTTGTTGCTCAGAAAAGATTGCTGAGACTAATTTTTAATATAGATTTTCAAGATAGTTGTAGACCAATTTTCTTAAGAGAGGGCCTATTGACGGCACCTTCTTTATTTATCTTGAAGTGTGTCACTTTTGCCCGTAACAATATAACTGAATTTGTCACAAATGCGGATATACATGGTAGAGACACCCGTCATGGGAAACTGTTAAGAACCCCCTCACACAAAACGGCTCACTTTAGATGCTCCCCACTATTTAATACAACAAACTGTTATAATAACTTGCCGGCATCTATTAGGAAAATCGAGTCAGATAAACTTTTTAAAATTGAGGTGAAGAAACTTCTCTTGCAGAAGTGTTAATACAGTCTTGAGGAATTCTTGCACGACACTTTTTCATGACATTTTGAGAGTATTTGCTAGAGCTTCTCCGATTTTTTATATAATACTTCTATGTTGTGAAAGTTTGTGGACGTGAACCACATTTATTGTTTTTGTATTGTTCAACTTCTGTAGTTTTATTTTTGTTTTTTGATTATGACTCAGCACATGTACTCAATGTACCAAAGTGTCAAATAAATAAATCTATAATCAAATACGACACCACAATGTGTTAGTCAAATAAACTCAGGAATAAAATTTCAAAGTATGAGTACTACAATAAATATACAACATCTACTTAAAATATCACAGTTGTTAGTCAATATAAAACACAAATATTTTCATTCAGAAAAATTTTCAGTCTGCCTCCTAAATAAAAAAAATTAACCCTATGAGTGCTTGTGCTTGCTTTACCTTTAGAAAAAAATTATATGCATGTATTCATTATGTAGCATTTGAATATTTTTTAACTTCGTGGTTTGATGAAAACTTTTTTTTATTATTTAAAACAGATCAAAGAAAAACTAATCTCAACAGACTTACCACCCATTGCGGCATATTTCTTGCTAATCTCAAACGAGTTGATGGATTTGAAATGGCCATAGGCCTCCATTTGTTGTCACTCTTGTTCTGCAAAATATATAATCAAGTGAATATTTGGCCAGAAAATTATATCAGAACTGTAAGGATCAAGTTTGATTTTATCGTTATGATGAATGTTTAAATTTCGCGGGCTACGTACATTATATATATGTATGTTATGTAATATATGTTCACAGTTTCAGCTGTTTAGTTTGTTGGTGAGAGGCATGAACGTTAGAAGTATTCGGCGATTTTCTGCTATCGATAAAAATGAAAATGAAAAATTGAATCAAATTTTGTGTGAAAAATTGAATTAGGTGCTCGAAAACACTTTAAATGTTGACACTGGCAAATTGCCGAAAAGGCAGAGCCATAAGAAGAAGAAGAAATGTTGACAGTGACATACGGTGAATGCACCCTGAGTCAGAAAAATGTTTACAAGTGAAACAAGCTTTTCGCAGAAGGTCGGGAGATGTGAATGACGACGCTCGCTGTGTACGCCCTAGCACATCATCAACCGTTAAAAATGTTGAGTAAGTTAAGAAAATTGTTATGGAGAATCGGTTATCGGTTGGCTTGTGCCATGCAATTCTTTTCGTAAATTTTGGTTATGAAGCATGTGGCAGCAAAGTTCCAAAACTGCTGAGTTGAGCATCGCTCAGGAATTGTTGAATGACGTCAACTGCGATCCAGATTTGCTTATGAGAGTCATAACTGGTTACGAAACATGGGTATATGGTTATGACATCGAAACTTAGTCCAATCGTTCCTATGGAAGAGCCAAAACCAAATAAGCACGCCAAGTTCGAGCAAATGTCATGGTTTTGTCACTGTTTTCTTCGATTACCGTGGCGTAGTGCGTCAGGAGTTCTTGAAGTTATGCTAGAAGCAAATCGAAGAAAACGTCCGGCATTGTGGAAAAAACAATCCATGGTTTTTGCATCAAGATAATGTACCTGCTCACTCATTATTGCTTGTTCGTAATATTTCGGCCAAAAACGACACCTTATCCACCGAATTCATCAGATTTGGCCCCCGCGACTTTTTCCTGTTACCAGGATTGAAGAGTCCCATAAAAGGACGGCGTTTTGCGACGATTGAGGAGATAAAAACTGAATCACTAAGAAAGCTCAGAGACACCAAAAAGTGCATATCAGAACTACTTTGAGGATTGGAAAAGCGCTGGCACAAGCATTATATCTGAGGGGAAATTGATGAATAAATACATATTTTTTGAGAAAAATGAAAATTGAACAGGCCTCTTATAAGGGATGGAACCGTTTCTCCAAAAATGTTACATTTAGAAAATTTCTGTTTTAATTTCCAAAAATCACGTTCTGTATGGTGTCCACCTTTTACAAATGTTTAAAATAATAAAAAAGATGGATAAATACTCTTGAGCATTCGATTTAAGAGAATTGTTTCTTTCCTGGAACATTATTTTTATACAAGAAATATATTCGTCTAATATTACTGTAAGAAGAATGAATAATAATATAATAAATATGTATGCTTTATTATTTAAAGAGTTGATAATATTAACAATGTTAAGCAGAATGATAGTATTTTATTAGGAGAAATAGCAATAAGGGAAGGTGTGCGAATATTCGAGATGTAATAAATAGAAATATTGCGGATTGGAAAGATGTTTGTTCAACTTTTCCATGAAATGATAAGTTGCTTTCAGTGTTTTGACGTCAATTAGCAAACTTTTATAGAATTATGAGTAAATGGATGTTCTAATTCTAGTCGTGAAATAAATATAATCCACTTTCTCAAGGCCTCCTCTATAAATATGAACCTGCATCTCCTATATTTCGAGAACATGGATCGTCTTCCGGGTTGTTTTTCCAAACAAATCGGAATCAACAATAACACGTTTTTTTTTTATAAATAACGTTCGAGTTACATAATCGGCCTCATCTAATACACATTACAAACGCCCGTGAAACGTTGGCTTTCTCGACGGGGAGGAAATATTTTTTCGAAAATACGACGTGAGCGCTGTTTATTTTTTCATAAACAAACGGTTACAGGCAGAACTAAAAATACAACCCACTTACATTCATGGTGGCAAAAATATCCCGGGAGAGGAAGAAAAACTTGCTAAAACCCGATGCACATAGTCACAGATACTTAAAACTGAGCCGCACGTTGCGTTGATGATCTCGGTGACTAGCCACCAGTCTAATATTAGGCTGGCCGCTTTGACACTTTGCCAAATCGGAACGGTATAAATAAGTATGCATTCTTGGACTTTGTCGGATCCTGCTGGCCCGCACTATAAGGACGGACAACTAGGAAAAATTTTTGTCGGGCGCTTGCCCTTTTATGCACTACCGGGGATACACAAAAGTTATAGCTATACCTACGGAGTGGTAAATTGGTAAATAATTGATTTTTCGAAGATGCTGAAGAGCCACAGCCTTTTTATTTTATAATCGGCAGTACATACCGTCGATTATCTGTAATCGATAGTTGAAACTGTAGATTAACTACGTGTATGACGGCCATTTCAAACTGTCGATTAGCTACAATCGACAGCTCAAACTTTCGATTATGTATAATCGACAGTTCAAAATGACTCAAATCTATAATTCCATGCCCCCTCCCGGGTTGAGTGCCCTAAGTTGAAATATTCCACACACGGTTAATGTGTGCAGAACATTCCATCTCGTCCATTAACTCCCGCTCCTCCGGAGCGGACCTCAACTTATTGATGGCACTTCAGCACTAGGTGCTTTTACTTTCTGATCTGTTGCATCTATAATCGACAATTCAAAAAGACGTTCATTTATCATCGATAGTTCAAACTGTTGATTATCCTAGTTCGAACTAGAAAAAAAAAGTCGGACGCTTTCCCTTTTCTGCACTACGGGGTTTATACATAAATTACATAGTTCAAAATACATAGTTCAAAGTATCGATTATGTATAATCGACAGTTCAAACTCAATCAATCATTCATTTATTCCTGTGGAACTTACGAAGTTAGACGATTATATACTATTCCAAACTAGGAAAACTGTTTTTAGGGTACTCGCTCGTTTCTTCACATTACGGGGGATATGGAAAAATTATAATTATACATACGGGATGAAAATTGGGGATTGGTGAATAATTGATAATTACGAAGGTGCTGAAAAGCAATTTAAACTGTTGACCGGGAATATATAAAAATTATAAATATATCTATGGGGTGGAAATTGAGAAAGGGTAAATAATAATTGATATTCACGAAAGAGCTTTGTAAATAACACTATCACTAATACTTTTCTCTAGTTTTGTTTCAGGAGAGAAAAAACACATTTTTCAAATTCTAGATTTTCAAAAGTGTCTAAGAGAATGTTGTCATGTACCGGCCTCAACAATTTTATTTATTTCATGTTTATTCTGGGGCTGTCTTCTATAATGTTAAATGTTACTAGATTTAGCTGGTCTACGAAACCAAATATGTAAAGTATGATCCTTGAAACAAGTTTGTATTGTCCGCTTAGTATGGCCAATATACATACTTTTTCTCGCACTGTTCAATCTTATTTCGTAAATTCAAAATTTTTCCATCCGTTTTCATCATCCTAGTTTAACACTAGTTGACGTGTACAAACAGTTTTGAAAGCGACTTGTATATATAACTTTTTTTGGTGTATTTCGATTCATATGGAAGAACCATCTTTGAAGACTCTCTCAATTTTCATTACCCAATTACTTTGTAGACTATGTCTGAAGTATAACCGGTAGTTTCAGTCATTTCCTTGATAACTTTTTGTCAGTACCAAATCCACCCTAAAATGTTTGCGAATCTTCGTCAATTTTCGGTATTGTTTTTTGTGAACTGAAAAATGTTTGGAATGCTAATCAGTTTAAAGTAACACTTATCCCGCTTCACCATCTGCCAAAAGGTGGACGCTTCCTTTCGTCACGTCAAGTCAACAAATCGCTAATAATGATTGCAAGCCAACTTTAACGAGTCTCGTTAAATTTGAAGTATGAACGCACGCAGTCGAGAAAACGATAATTAATTTATTGATGCTTGGCCTAAATATCTCGACACCAGCAAAGAGCTATACTATGTTTCTTAATAGTACATTAAAAATGTTCATTATACATTCAAAAAGCTAGGATAGTGCTCAAATAAAATACTGTAACAGGTCTACCCTATTTTTGTACCGCAAACAAAATATTTTATGAGCTTTCAGCTCGTTTCAAGTGAAGAGATCAAGAATTAAAACTAAAACTTGATGAAATAAAAATTCTGTATCGTAAAAAATGGTTTATTCGTACCAAGTTCACAGCAAAATTTGTATAAAAATAGTTTTACATAGTATAAAATAAATACTTCTCGCTATACCGACTGAGCAACGTAGTATTAAGAATAAAACCCGCCCTTCAAAAAATCCTAAACATATTCGTAGAAAAAACCGCTCCGGCAGGAGTTGCGACACCGAAAATATCAAGGAAAATTGTTTCCTCTTTAAAGTGCCTTCATTGGCAAGGGTAAGTACACTTGACATCGTAGCCTCTTTTCATAATACTGCACCCGGGAAAGTGGTAGAAGGCGTTGTAGAAAATAGGAAAAATCCTCGCTTATGTACCAATCGCCCAAAAAAATTTCCCCAAGAAGTACATGGCCACTAGGACGCAGACTGCAAACGCAAGCATCGCGCAATGTTCCACGAATGAGGTCTCCTCTTGCTGAACTTTGCAGTGGGCCGCCAATGCTTGCTGGAAAAAATTTATGATTATTGATTTTGAAAATAATATACAGCTTGAAAAAATCGAACACGTTACAACAAATAACAGCATGAACATGAAAAATTGTTGAAAATGTCTCCCTTCACTCAATATTATGCACGGTTCTGCTCTAGTTCTTAAGGAATTTCGCACTTGTTGAAAAGTAACAGGCTTATTTTCAAGGCGTCTCAAGATATCCTCACGAAATGAAATCTAAGCTACTGAGGTCTGAAGATCTTGGCGGTCATTCTTGAGCCACGGAGATTTGGGTAAACAGTTTGTACATACTACACTGAGTTCTTCCTTCAGATGTTCCCTTTTGGGCAGTACCAGTTTTAACAAGACGACGATGAAGATTGGAAAAGAATCGACTATCTGGCAAAGCACGATTTGGATTTCCCTATTGATAAATGCGTTTTATTAATTGTGATGGACTCAACAACTATACTTGGTGATTAATTAATTAATTCATTGGGGTTTATGGTATGAAATTTCATTCTCATCGCACTAACACTACAAGAGACTGAATTGAGGATGTGAATCGGCCGCCATTCTGATTGTTGGCCATGATAGCGTAGTTAGTTAATGAGAACAGGAGAATCGGGTTCGAATCCCGGTCGGTTCACATTTTTCCAATTTAGTTTTTCATTCATAGATCTGCATACCGCGAATTTGATCTTTCGTATTATAAACAGACGCTGATTTCTTTTGTAACTGTATCATTGATTGATTGATTTAATATTGTACATTTATTAAATTCAGCAGAACAATAAATTATATGCAAATACAATTTTATAATCAGTGAAAACGATATTCGGAATGTAAGGTAGTATATTTATTTTTACTAGAATTGATCCCTGTTCAGGAAAACCTATTTTAAAGAAGCTTTTCTACTGTTCCAACAAATTTTCTTGCCAGTGGCGTCCATACGAGAGTTCCACTGAATCATTTGGTGAGAAATGATTCAATGCTTTTTCTCAATAACTTTTGTTTGACGCACAAGGTTCGAATATATAAATTAAATATATTATGATTGTTACCACAACTTATTGTTGTTCAGGATTTTTCCTCAGTTTATGGAATTTTTCAAAATAATGTCGTAAGGAGTTTTTGGAGATTCATAATGAGTTCGTACCGCCCAAAAATAGAAGTACATTTCCCACCTTCCGAATTTGTTAGATTCGCCACTGTATATTACTCAAAAACCCTCACCCAACCTCCATTGGTATGTATCCAAAGTGCCATCCGGTCTTCCAGAAGTTCATTCATATCCACCTGTATGACGTGCAAGTCCTCCATTCGCCCCTGCCGCACCGAATCCAGCGCCAACCCTGCCGCCACGCAATAAATAGCGATTATCTTTCCCCAAGTAGGTTCGACTTTCAGCAGCTCTTCTCCGAAAGCGACAAGAACTCCCGAAACGGCCGTGTCCGGTCCCCTACCTATCTGCCTGGCGATCCTCGTGAATAATTTCGGTTGCATCGCTTCCAATTCAGCGCACGCGCAGGACAGACCTAGAGAAGATCAATTCGTTAGCCACCGTGCCACCTAGAGTCCCTGATTTGGGTCCAGGTGACTTATTTACTAAATTTCGGAACTAACCTGGAAAAATGTCTCTGACTACTTCCCCGCATCCCTCCAATGAACCTACCGCACTTCTGACCCTGGTTAAGCCTAATTTTTTGTTGAAAACCCCTGCCCGTTTCAGTCTGCTTCTTATGTATAGTGTGCACAGCGCTCTTCCTACGGCTGTTATTTCTGCTGGGGGAGTTTCCAGGGCGGATTTGCTCCATCTGGAAAAAATCAGTATGGAAGATGGTAATAAAGGTACTACATGGGATGAAAAGTATCGAGTCAAACACATAGATGGAGCTAGCTTTTTCACTTAGTACTAACTTTCAAAAGAAAGCTTTTGAAATTTCATAATAATCTACTCATGAGTCTGTGAGTTACTGTACTAAGAGTGACACTACTTTCCTTATTTTTAAAATAATGGATCAAAAACAATTTTGTTTTTGTTTAATATTGATGTTTGTTTAATGTTACACTGCTTTTTTATGGGAAAAATACCGTTCAAGCGAAGCAACGACTTGAAAAGTGTTATTAGGACTCCGTTCGATCAGAAACAACAGTGGACGTCACCGTTGACCAAAAACAAGAACATCTTGATGATTCTGAGCAGAGTTTGGTCATGTTTGAAGATAGTAAACCGGAATGTTTGCGTCGATATGTGACAATGGATGAAACATGGATCCATCACTTCACTCCGGATTCAAAATGATCGTCATCTGAGTGGAGAGCAACTGGTAAACCTCGTCCTAAGCGCCTGAAAGCACGACAATCGGCTGGAAATACTAATATGTCTCAGATGAGTTTGTGAAACTTTCCAATACAAAATTGGTAGAAATCTTCTTATTTGTTAAAACGCATTGTAGTCGTCGATAAAATAGCATACGAAATTCACATTTGTGAAAATAGCGCACTCACTGCAGAGGTCGTACTATAAAAATCACTCGTGCAAAAATCTAACACAAGAAGAAAATCCGTATCGGTACCTCATTCACACGGAGATAAATAAGTGAATGTCTTATAATATAGTATACGAACCCAATTGTTGTCGACAACTTTCTAGCAGCATCTCCAACGTTGCTGAATCGTCTCTTGAAAACGGCATTTTCTATTCCTGTGGCAACTGGAATGCTCAATTTCCGTTTAGAACGCGGCGACGGGGTTCTTCTGTCTTTATCCGGGGTCCACCCTGGAGTCAATTCCATGGCTTTGGTAGATCATCGACCGTCATCTGAAAAAACAATATAGGAATTTGACATAGTGTTGTAAATCAAGCCCTAAAGAAAATAACGCCGGCCGCCACTGGTAGCCATAAACCAATTGTGACGTAACTAAATGAAATATGGAGCTACAAAAACATATGACATAAAAACGGACAAAACTTTTGAAACGACCTAAAATATTTGAGAAGCATTGAGCTTTTCTGGCGTGAATTGAACTTTTTCGTACACCATTCAAGATTCTTCCATTGCTATGAAAATTACAAACAGTTCTGTGAAACGAGTGAAAACATTTTCAAAGCGAGTCCCATTTTTCTGAAAAATATTGGCCCATACTATAAGAAAATTTTTGTGTCACATATTTCTTAAAATATTCCACGTCTATACCAGTATTTATTACGTTTCATCGGTATTTATTACTTTTAACAAAATATATTTTATGCGACGCCATATAATTGTGACACTAAGAATTTGTATCTAATTCAGATTTACTTTTTCTTGTAGCAGACACAAAATAAATTATAACTAATAATTTATTTGTTTTCTATCATCAAAATTTATATAACCAATTCTGTCGATATACAAAGGCGGTAATTCATCAATATTTCACTATAATTCTTATATTTTTTCAGGCCAGTCAAGAGGGTGGAAGTTTTTGCAATGGTTTATGGATCAGCACTTCCCCCTTTGCGTGGTTTTTTAATTTTTACGAAACGTTATTTCCCTGGCAATTATGTTTTCGATAGACCACCCTCTATGTAAGATGAAAACCGCCACAATTGAGTGAAATGGGGTTAGGGACGGGATGATAAAAATGGGAATGGCAAGACAGACAAAACTCACACTCAAAGCAAGAAAAAGCCTTAAAGAAATATTAAAAATAAGTATTTAGTTTTGCATCACATAACCACAAATTAAAAATTTCACCGCTTTTCGAAATCAATTTCAAGTAAAAACTCACCTCCATCAGACTACCACCTCGCGTAACATTTCTTACGAAATAGACAAATTCATATTCAGTTATGTAACGAAAAAATCGTATTCCATCGCCTCCCAATTGAGTTCTGTTGTAGTACAAGTAATAATTGAAAGTTGCAATGGTATTTTTAGCCGTTAATGACAATAGATAAACGAAATAATCACCAAATTTCGCACACGCGAGTCAAATCGAAGGTTAACGCCGCGCTAGAGGTAGACATTCCTAATGGTTCTTTCTTATAAACTAACCAAAGTTCATAGAGTATTCATTACCATGTGCCATGCCAACGGTACTATTTTACGTGACCAACAACAGAGCCATTCTTATTCTTCAAACTGCGCGATGAAGTTTATGAAGACACGGACCTCTTTTATTCATTTTTGTATTTTATTTCGTAAAAAAAGTGCTTAGTGTACTTCATTATATTTTTGTATTTATGATACCACCATTTACCCATCTTTTAGATCGAATATGAATTTCTGTTGAAAAAAGATTATCACCAGTTTTAAACTTCACTGACGAGCTAGAACAATATAGTTTTTTATCGTTCTTCCGAAAATATTTCCAAATAACCCCAAAACAAATGATTATGTAAAAAAATCATCTCACCAATAATTTTACAAACATCAACGCGTTCAACGAACAATTTCGAAAACCCTAGTACGAGAGATAATTAGTCAAGTACATTATTTTCCAATTATTTCCTGAACCACTGAAAGAAACAAAAAATGTAACTTTTCGATTTTGAAAAGTTTCAGAACGACTGATGTTGACAAAAAAATATTATTTCCTATTACCATCTTATTCCCTACAAAAAAAAAAAATATAAATGACACCACTCTAGAAAACATTCTTCCAATCCACAAGAAAATCATGGAAAGAGCTCATTAGAGATTCAAGACATTTCATTACAATAAGTTGTAATAGACAACTTTACAAGGTATAGAAAGAGCAAACTTATGAGTAATCTGGATGTTACCTTGCAAATTCAGTATACTCATTTGCTAAGAGTTTTGTAGAGCTCATTTCAATGTGATGGAGGCCAAAATCTACCTCCGTCTATATATTTTAAATATCAACTACATATTGCAGGTTTTTCGATGTTCTTTAAAAGCGTGTTTTTTTAGTTTTTTAAACTATATTTATTATTTTGATTTTCTTTTGAACAATCTATCAAGGAGGATAAGTACAGCGTCATCTGTCCGCGAATAGATCAAGAAATATCAAGTAGGTTACATACAGCGCCATCTGCTCGCGAATAGATCAAGCACTAATGCCGATAATTCTGTCAATACAGATCCCGACCGATTCTTGATGAAAATCCATCAAACGTATTCAAAAAATACACTTCGATGTGAGATTTCCACTTGAAAGTTTAGAAAACCGCGAAACATGTGCTGCTTGAGGACGATAATGCATAACGAAACACCTATTCCAGTTTAAACTGTATTAGTAATACAAGAGTTTGAACGATAAATGACGGTCTTAGTGGCGATTCGATGCAAAAATATGTTTCAGTGGCCAATCGCTTTCTGCCTCTCTGTAGTTTTCACTGCAAGGAGGCACCCAGATATATATCTAAATTAGGCGAAATTTTTCCTGCCGAACAAAACAAAAATCAACTGATACAGTTTTACATGCCATTCATAAGTTGTCTCGTTAGTAAAAGTTGGTAATTTAAAAGAAAAGTATCAGCTGCTCTAATGGATTTATTGTAAATGTATCCAAACCGGCCCTGAATTTCTTAAATATTTATACCGAATTAGTAATTTCTTTATAAAAGTTCAAGCTCTAGTCATAAAGTTAATTGCGGACTATGAAAATGATTAATTAGGTATAAACATTGTCCACGGAAGTTATAAAAAAGACACATCATTGATATCTGCAATGACCTGAACGTAGAAAACCCATTATACAACATACTCAAAATCCGGTATCAAACATACACTCACGTGGAAATGGTTTCAGTCTTTCTTCTCTCGAAATCGAATTAGCCTCGAACCAATTCTGTAACCAATTAAATTATACTTCTTTGGTTAACACTAAAAGTTTTTTAACAACACTACTGGGAATACTCGCTAGTCACAGTTATGTTTATAACGCGTTTAACCTTACATGTTATTATTAATAAACAGCTAGACATACAGTTTTTCTGTATCTTCAACTAGCGCTCGTTCTTGACAACTGATATTGAATTTTGTTATTCACCGCCCATTCATTTAGGATATCGATATTCCAATACTGAATCATTAAAATGCTATTATTAGTCAATATATTTATATGTGAGTGATTTTTTCATTTTGATATCAATTGGACGATCAACCTCAGACATCGAGACGTTGTAATTACAAGGTTGCCACTTTTTCGGTAATTATCAACAATTATACAGGACCGGATTTATGGGATTTGATAGAGCCTGGTAGATGTGAACTACACACTTGACACTACCTAATATATTATAATGATAATAATGAAACTTTTATTTCAAATAAAGATAGTTACATGATTGTACTACGTCACAACCTCTGAAGAAAAAAATGTATATACAGATTACACAAATTTCAAAAAGAAGAAGAGTATGCAATATATATTTTCAGTGAAGTGTGTACTGTATAAAATCAAACAAAGATTCGAAACAATTTTGTTTTAATGACATTTTGAACCCAAAAAAGTTTTATATCTGCACTCAGATTATTGAATATTTTCAATCCCAGTATATTCGGTGATTTTTAAATTATATTATATTTAGCAAGCATGAAGTCAATTCTCCTTAAAACTAATTTGGATGGCAAATCACTCGTCAAGGAATATTTTTTTCTGACATGGGAAAAATGTTTTCAAAAGGTTTCATGTTTATCAGCCATTATTCACATATAATTTGATAAGCGTGGACTCACCAAATCAGATCCGGTATGTTTTTCTGTTATTTTGTTAAAAAAAAACAGTAATTTCACTCCTAACGTATCAACTAGTTGTGCAACTCTCGACATTACCTTGACTTTATATATGGAGAGCATTTCGATGATAATTACAAAATACGATTTATTACCATCAAGACGAATTGTATTACAAATTAATTAAGGAAGCTTCTACTGTTAAATATTTATTTTAAGTCGGTCGTTTTATAACTTCCAAGCAAATAGAATTTATCGGCTGACGCGGCTGTGTCGGTAAATCACTTGAGAGATAGATGGGAAAAACTAGGTTTAACGAATTCGAAGCCCTTCGATATAGTGCTAAGTTTGACATAAATATAGTTTAGACAAATTTAAAAAAAATTCTGCTATATACCAAAGTTCAAATTTCCACAATTCAATTTGTTTTTCCTCCATAATTAGGTGTTTTCTCGCGTTACATATAACCACGCTAAGTAAGCTGGATCAGTTTTTCAATATGTAGGTACGGCTTGTTTGAACTTTTTTTGTACCGGTATTTCTTTGTATGGATGAAATCATCAATACAATTTTGCAAACGGCCTCTTGGTTTTACTGTTGTAGCTTTCTTCATATTTGCATGATATTGTAAACGTAAATGTCTGAAGCAAGAAAGGGCTATGGAAGGAAAAGTGAAACTGAAAAGCTCTGTTGAAAAAAAGGTGAATTTACATTTTTCACAAGAAATGTTTATTTGTAGACATTCATATTAAATATAGAAATATAGAATGAGTTTATTATTTGTTACGACCGGTTTCGGTTTATTAGACCATTTTCAGTTACTTGTCAAAAATTCGTGTACTTACAGATTTTATAAATTTAGATACTTATAGATTTAGATACCCTATCTTAGACCTATATAAAGATGGGGATTTGATTACTCATAACACTTAGATATGTTATTACTTTTTCATGAAATAGTGTGACTTTTGATAACATGCCGTACATTTTGAGTGGTGCAAATAGCGGAAACATAAAACAAACATAGACAAATAATCAAATGTTTTATGAGAGAGAGGACATTGTTAGATCAAGATCTTCAGATGATGTGGTGCTGCAGGTTTTTCCGGGTTTTCCTGCAGCTGAAAAAGCAAATGCGCCACTGGAATCAATGAAGTCGCCCCGGAGCGCCAATTAATTTTTATTGTTGTATTTATTTTATTTTTATCGTTGTTTTAACACATTGTAATAATTTTATATAGTAAAAATGTTGTCAATCAAATTGGATTTTAAGATGTATCTTCCCTTTCGTTCAAAACTTTTTTCTGTACTAAATCACGGGTAATTGAAAATATTTAAATATCTAAATATTTCATCTGTGGTACAAAATTTCGCTAACACTTATAGTTTCTAAAATATGTTTTTTCTTATGATTTTCTCTTGAACAACCTATCAAGGAGGTTACGTACAGCGCCATCTGCCCGCGAATAGATCAAGCAATAAGTGATAGTTACGTACAGCGCCATCTGCCCGCAAATAGATAGAGCAATAAATGATCGTTACCTACAGCGCCATCTGCCCCCAAATAGGTCAAGAAATATTAAAATGTCTGGTGCAGTACAGCGCCATCTGTCCGCGAAAAGATCAAGCAATACGTGATAGTTACGTACAGCGCCATTTGCCCGCGAATAGATCAAACAATGCCGATAGCAGTCTAAACCATTTTGACAAAAGATACTAATCAAACCTAACAAATGGCAGAATCATTGTCTATAGATTTAGACAATGGCAGAATTCAACGTCTGCGCATGATACATTAAGGCAGAAATTGCTCTTCCATCCAACCATATTCCATAGCAAAATTTATGAACACAAAGTACGAATTGAACTCTGTATTGGTTAATATTACATAGTAATACATAGGGATATTGAAACTATTTGACATAAATTTTCTTTGGGTATTAATGCGCAATCTAAAATATAGATACCGCATCGTGATGTTAATATAATTTTTTGTTATCGGTAATGATAATTTGAAACGCCACGCCGTAACAATCATTAAGGTCACCGAAACCAGCTGTTAGGAATCACACGTTAAAAGGTAAGACCTTGTTAGTCCTTAGCTCGCCCAAGTTTCTCAACTTCTGAGAGTTGTCGTTCATATAGGGACGACAGTTGATTAACGGAAAAACAGATTTTTAAGCATGAGGAGTGAAAACTATCGGTAGAAGTAGCTAATACGAATATTTTTCATTATTATGATTGAAATAACCTTACTTAAAACAATTTACTCTTTCTTAGAGCTTGATCAAATTGTCCCTAGGATTTTGAAAGGCCTCAATTTCATTATTATTATCTGCGTTATTCATTTCTCTAACGTTATATTTTGAATCAGGTAATACTTTTCGATAATATGGAATATATAACACACATTTGCTTACCGAGTAATCCTTTTTAAATAATTGATAATTTCGTTCAATCAAAACAACGGAAAAACATGCAAAACGTTATTGAAAATAATTCATGCCTACCTTATTTTTTCAATTGTTCGCCTCATATGATCGTATATATCCATCTGAAAACTAACATCACGACTGGTGGGCGACATTTCGGAAGTCGAATGTCTCTGCCTTTCTTTATCTGATATACATCCCACCAGCAAAATGAATTGAATTTCCAAATTGGATCATCGGGTGTGGTAGAATGGGTACTTGAAAAGATTTCTCTTCAAATATATAGTAGGTTGAACATTCAGCATAGAATATTATTATAACCAATAATTATGAAAATACCAACAAAATTAGTACCTACCTAAGTATTGCATTAGTAGGTGGAAACATACACAATAGTTCGCATAAAGTATCACTTTTGTATTTTGTTCCGAAATCTTTTATTAGTGATTTTTTTTTAATTTGAATTTATTTATTGAATTAGGATTCCCTAATATACAGGTTAGCTAATTTGAAATATAATATGATCAACAAAATTTATATAAATAATACAACTTTATATAGGTACATACATAATTTGAACTGAACAATAAGGAATTTTTCATTGCCATATTTCCTTTTATGTACTGTGACCTGCCATAAGTGTATTCATATGTGACACAAGACATAAACCTTGAAGTGAGGGCGATGGCATCTCCCCTGAGGAGAACGCCATCTATGAGAACAACAGAGAACTCAATCCACCAAAATCAAAGACAAACGATGCTCCTAAGGCGATTAGTTGCAAAACAAAACATTGACCGCCGACGAGATTCGTCCTGTCTCACTGCAAGATAACCAGAGCCCAAACACAACACATTTATGATTCAACACCAGACAGCGCTGTTTTGACCCCTCCATAAGTCTCATCAGTGGTGCTAGGCTGAACCACAAATGCACTCCGATTGCTATCGTGATTTCATCCATGATAGAGCCTAGCTCCCCTACCCTTCAAGCGTGTTGTGCGGCAGGGGAGTAAACGAGACACAACCCACTGAAGCTTTTTTTTTGAAGATAAGGTCCTCAGATGTCCGTACCAATTATAACAGTGTACCCCTACCTGGCTGGGTGTTTAGTGAAAAAGTTATTCACCCGTTAACGAAGGATATAAGGGCCTCACTCGCTTTTGTGTCAGGGCCTTCTGTTTCGGGAGGGATCGTCTACACCATAATCTATAGCATTCCTGATTAGCACAAATGCATTGCTGGGAAAACGAGTTCGAAAACATTTTCCCTTACAAAGACGCCATCTATGGGATCCGACATCCAAGCTCAGCTTTGCAAGTGATGGCCTTGGGGAACCTCATTTATCTTTGATATTCGAGGAATGAGTTCTCTGTGGACTATATAGATGGAGTCTTCGTGAGGGAAGATGTCATCGCCCTCACTTCCTCAGGCTTGTCTTTCAAGGACAATAATGCACTTGTGGTTCAGCCTGGTACCACTGATTAGACCTATGGCGGGTCGAAACAGCGCTGGTTTCCAGCTAGTTCAACCGCGAAGTGTTTGTCGAACATATATTTCCGTGTCACGTAATCCGAGAACATGTTTGATGTTCGTTCTTCCAAATATTGTAAAATTTTTATCGTCATTTTGAAAAACTGCCAGAACAACAAGCTATAAGTTAGCACAAACATAAAATAAAACTTAGTCAACTAAATTTCCACCATTAAATTTTTCAGTATTTGTTAAATGAAAAAATGACCGACTAACTTTGAGATGTGAATGTGATACACAAAAAGTGGTATTAATTTTTTGTTTGATAGAAGACTTTGTACGCAAAATGCCAATCAAAAATCTTACCAAAAGTTGGGTGTTTCGAAGCAGTTTTATATTAAATTAAAATTACAAATTGAAAAACTATAAATATCAAAAAAAATTGTAACAACAAATAATATCATAGTGAAAAAGCACCAATACAAAATAAATCTATCTTCAAGGGTTTACATGGTGAAATTTTGGGTGTAATCATACTCGATGGTTGGAATAACAGACTGCATGAACTTCAAAAATATTATCAAGTACATATGAACTCCCAGATCTCCGCCCCCTTCCATCACAGTCTCGATGATGCTCTTCATCACTTCGGCGTGCCTGAAACATTTTTGTCTGTCAGTTCTGCTCTTCTGAAAGAAGCGTCACTAGAGTAAGAAATTACCTGCACGGGTGAACGGATGCCATTTTGGGGCAACTGAGGTGAGGGTGAGTTTCCATGGTTACCGTTTTCTGCACGTAGTCTTTGCTAACGTCTTCGTAAAGTTCGTCATCTGTCAACGGCTGGTGTTTCTGAAAGTAAATATCCGAATTTTGTCTTTATTCTGTCACAGATTTTTTTTATGGATGAGCGTCAATGAATGAAACTCTAAAGAGCCTACTATGGATTATTTCACTCAGTTAAGTCATATGGTATTTTGATTTGGGGTCATGCAGGTAACTCCGTTAGTGTTTATAGGAGACAGCTCAATGATCAACTAGAACTATGCAGCTCGCCCCTTTTGAATATATGAATCTTAACATCTAGTTTAGGATCCATTCAACAGTTTTTAATTGTGATATATATTTGCAGAAGGTGTTTTTCCAGAGATTCTTAAACTCTCCAAAGTTATACCGATTTTTAAAAAGGGTAACAAAAATAATATCAGTAATTACCGACCCATCTCCCTAGTTCCTATTCTGTCAAAATTGCTTGAATTGGCTTATAAAATCAGACTGATCAACTATTTATAGAGAAAAATGTACTGAACCCTAAACAACATGGATTTCGTGAGGGAAAGTCTACTATAACTGCACTTGTAGATATGATTATTCACATCACAGATGAATTTGAGAAAGGAAATGTGACACTAGCATCTTTTTTGGACCTTTCCAAAGCTTTTGATTGTGTGTCACATGAAATTCTTTTAATGAAATTGGAAAGTTATGGTGTCAGAGGAAATGCTTTTTCATTCATTCAGAGTTACCTTACAGGAAGGTAACTCTGGATGATACCTTTCCTCAAACGGAAAGGTATCATCCAAAAGGGAAATTACATGGGGGGTTCCCCAGGGTTCAATCTTAGGTCCCATACTATTTATTATTTATGTTAATGACATAACTCATTTCTTATCGTCAAAACGTGTTGAATATGCTGATGATACCACATTACTAGTTTCAATGAGAAACTATGATCAGAATGTTGAATCATACACCCTCAAAAGTGCTCAGGAATATTTCACGAATGTAAGTCACAAGAGAATAAACTCTACTCTACTCTATTATAGAAAACAATTAGTTATTGTAGTATTGATTACAAAGAGCACTGTCGTCCAATTTTCATTCAACTTGGCATTGTGCCACTTTACATTACATATCTATAAATTTTTCTATCTATAATGTCTCAAATCTATAATTTTTTAATAGATTTGCGACATTATGATATTCATGCATATGGAACACATTTTTATAATCATTCTGTTATAAATATGCTACAGTATGTAAAATAGCCAAATAAAGTAATCTACTCTCAATAAATTGAATGATGTAGCTGTTATTACGTGATAAAAGATCATCATGAAAAATGAATCTTTCTACGTTTTTTACCACTTTTATTCATTACTATAGTTACTGCAATTTCGTCCTATTAGTCTGAAAATGTTCATATAGGACGAAACTACAGCCACGATAGTGACAAATGAAAGTGGTAAAAAATATGGAAAGTTTCATTTCTCATTTTTCATGATACTCTACTCTCCTCTGCTCTGTAAGGGAATTGTACAATCTTTTGGGCAGTAATTATTATCATTATTACCTCATCATAACCTGTCAGCCACAGCCTAGGTGTTTGGTAGTACTTATCATAAGTGATGTGTAAATCATACGTTCTTGTATGTATGATTTCTCCAATTTCTTCTGTGTTTTTGTTTGCTGCCACCGGTTGAACTACTTTTGCAACCTAAAAACAAAAATGTGTCCAAACTGTCAATCTGAACAACATACTTCATCTAATCTAACAACACTTTGTGAGATTTTCACTAAACAGATGTACAAAAACGCAACACATGTATCGCCATACAGGCCTGAAGAAGCCATTGTATGGTGAAACACGTGTTGAATTTTTGTAAAACTGTCTAGTGAAAATCACAAAATGAAGTGTTTTTTGAATGAGTTATCATAAAGTATCCGATGGCTCCATCATATAACATACTTGATCATCTTCCAACATGCCACTTTCTTCAAATTCTTCCATATCTGCGGCATCCTCGTCGTCTTCATCTTCATCATCATCTTCTTCATCGTTTTTCAAAGCATCTTCCATGCTCTCAGCTTTAGTGTTTTCCAATGTCATCTCCGATATTTTGTCTTCAACTGAGGATGTCATTTCTTTGTCGTAGTGGTGGGTATCAACCCAACCATTATCTGCATCATCAGATTCTGTAAGACAAACACAATTGAAAATCCATGAGATTATCATTATTCATTCATGTATGAGCATAGGCTCATTAAAATATACAAGAAATAAATCAAATGATATCACAACAAAGTTAAAAGGTGATTCGTAGAATTTGAACATCTGGAGTAAAATAATTCTATGGAAAACCCCCACAGTTATCCATAGAAGGTTAAGGAAAAACAAAGAAAGTACAAAGAGAAATTAGGCATATTTGATTCCACCAAGAGCAGTACATATCAGAAGTATGCAATGGACTGTAGCTGCTCATCGTTTTGAAGTTCAACTCAGTACACCTCGAACTTCACTGTTTAAGAACTCTTTCACCTGGAGAACTGCGTTTATGTGGAATAAACTTCCTGAGAACTTTGTTCCAAATGGATTTATTCTCCAGCGATTCAAATCCAATGTGAATCACTACTTTCGCACAGGCACCACTCTGAAAGCGACTTAAGGATTTTCAATAGATATATTCATTAGCTATGAGTGTTTCTTTTTGATGTATGTACAAATTTTATTGTGTAATAGCATGAATTATTAGCTATCTATACATGTGATCAATGACACAACAATCAATTAATTTTGGTTGAAGATGTTTGTAACACTGTGTTAACTGATAACATTGTAAAGTATCAAATCACTGAGAGAACTTCCAAGTAAATATCATATATGAACATGTTAAAGGATAGGGGTCCTAAAAGGAATCCTTGAGGAACCCCCGAGTGAACATCTACTTCCTTGGACATAAATCTATAGATGTTAAGAAATGTTTGCCATTGGATAAATAACTTTCAGCAAACCTAATTTTTCAAGTTCAGAAGGATATTGTGGCCAACCCCGTCAAAAGACTTCCAGAAAAGAGCCTTTAGACAAAGATGGATTGGATATGAAAAGTACGGGCTGGGTCATATCAAAACTTTAGTATTTCAAAGGGTCTTGGAGGTATATCATCTGGTCCTGTTCTTGGGCCTTTGAAAGGGCAGAAGAAGCTGAGCTTCAGAAATACATCTGAACAATTGACAAAAAATAATCTGCAAACACGTTATAGTCTCCGCTGGTCTTCTACCTATAACTTTCTCAAAGTCTCCAGAATATTCCATCTGATTGTATCTTCTACTGCATGGCACGTTGCGGGTTATCAAAAACTGTTTGTGTTTTGGTAAGTAAGCTTTTGCTTTTGATTCGTCCCCCCCTGACCACTGCCAGGTCGGACAGTGGTGTACCAAGTGATCACCGGCAGCTACAAATTCTTCAGGAGTGAGCACACCAGTTTCTTTGAATTTGGATTCCTGGAAAATGAAATATCTCAAGACTTTTTTGCTAGACATACGCAGAGTTACTACCTTTAGAACTGGAGTTAAATACTCGCCGACAGCCAAAGCTGTTCCCTTCACACTATTTATCACACTTTGCATGTTTTCTGGAAAAAGTGAATTACTAAAAAAAAAATGGGTTTTTATCTCAACGTGACTTTATTGCCATAATATCGATTTTCTAAGTGAACTTCGAACAAATCAAACCAAAATTCAACAGTGACGTTATTATATGAACTAGCCACTGAAAAGAGAATATTGACTCCAGTACCTGAAAAAGATGGATTCATGTCTTGGCATTTACGTCACAACGTCAGATGAACGTGACGATGCCATACGTGATGCAAATTTCCATTGTGAAAATTTTGGGATTTGATTGGTCACATGACGCTGTGACGCAGTGGCCATAACGGTGTGATCCGCAGGTGGAATAATTTAAAAGTGACGTCACGACTAGTCCTTATTATAATGTCTACGAAATTCAAGAAACAGCAAAAATTCTTAGTTAAAAATGTCAAAAAGTATGAAATTATCAAATTCTCTCTCCTAAAATTTCTCTACCCGCTTTTTTAACTTCACACTTTTTAAATATGTGCACTGAGAAATCAGTCAATTTTGAAACAATTCCTTAACGAATTTCAGTTGATTATTGATATTTCATAGATTTATGTTTATGTCGAAAATAGGTTAACCATAGGTTAGTCTTGCCTGATGTTACAATCAATAACAGCCACGAAATACGGAGAAAAAAAATGTTCGATGGGTAGAAGTGCTGAAAGCTATGGCCACATAACCGAAAATTATGAAGTAGATTTTTATTCTGTGAAATGTCACTTAAATGTCAACATTACTAGCGTCAATATTTCAAATTGAAAATAAAAAACAATGAATTTATGACATTGAAAAATCTAAAGAATATCTTCCGATTACTTCAATATTAAGAAAAAAATGGCATATGAGACCATTTCAATTGACAAAATATGTAGAACTTGCTTGTCGGAAGCAACCAATATGAGGTCCGTATTCAGTATAGAGGAATCTACAGGAGAAAATTTGAGACTGTTTGAAATGCTTATGTCGTGTACTTCTGTCCAGGTTGGAAAATAACTTTTACTTTCCCAATAATTGTATTATTTCTAGATCCACAGCTATTCACTTATCTATCTTATAGGTGATGACTAATGATGGGTTGCCAAGCCAAGTCTGTCTACAGTGTGTTCACTACATCACGAGAGCGTTCTCTTTCAAACAGCTCTGTGAAAGATCTGATAATACCCTTCGCGAGCTTTTGGAACGTCAGTTTCAGCAGACTTTCCTGACAGAGTTGAAACCTTTGCTCGCCTCAGACGCTCTAGTACCAAGTTCTGTTTCAGAGATCATCACTGGAATTCCGCAAATACCTTCAGCCGAAACAGTCACTCTAAATGAGGTGATGCCAATTCAACAGCCCCAGACTACTCTGGTGCAAGATGTTCAAAGTGAAATTGTCTTGGAAGGGCCCCAAAATAACCATAAAGTAAAATATGAGGATTACGAGAACAATTTAGGGTGTAAATATTCTTGAAACTTCATTTACCTTAATTTTTCTAACATCTACAGATAAACACAATCATTGTTTCAAGAAATCTTACCAGAGTATATTATAATTTTGGGTAAATCATTGAAAATATTTTTTACTTTTTGTAGTAACCAATGATAACGATAGTGATACTGGCCAAGAAGATAAAATGAAGTTTGATGTTACAACTGAGGAAAAAGAACTGAAAAATGAGACATTACAAGATGAAACCAAGCAGCCAATTTTTGCATGTGAACAATGCACTTGTTGCTTTACTAAACAGTCTGACTTGAAGGTAATTATTTCAGTTTGGTATTCACCAGAGCAGTTTTATATGAAACTTCATTTGAATGATGCAAAACTTATTTTTAATCACAGATACAACTTTGAAACAAATTTTAATGACAATAAAATCTCTTTGGATTCAACAATATCACTATAATTTACTTTTTTTCACTTCAGAATTATAAAAATTAGTAAAAAAACTAATGTAGGTACGTCAGTATTATCAGATTCGGCTATTCAGTAATTGACTGTTGTTCACAGTATAAATAATTATATCTAATTGAGGGAATTTTATTTCTCAGATATTGCATATTTTAGTGACACAGTTATTCATAATTTATTCAAAAGGGGACAATTTTTTCAGATTCATATGTTTCATAAATTTCCTACAAGCCATGCGTTTATCTGCAGTATTATAAACGTCCTGTCTACCTTCTTCAATTTAAATTCTAATTAAAATTTGTTGTTAGTCAATAAAATTGTTATTATTTAGCATATATTATGTCCAATTATGAATACACTGACTCTTTACTTGATGAAAGTTATCAACACTATCCATGAAGATAATTAGTCGAAGTTAAATTTTAACTCTATCATAAACATTATTTTATAATTCGGACTTATTTCAATAAGTTCAATTCAATATTAATTTTATTCAACTCAACTCAGATGTACCAATTAATTTTTATTATTTACTGCATATATGGCTGCATTACATACAAGGAACACCCCTTTGTCAATGTTCCTTCTGTGATGCCATTGTTTTGATACTTCTTTTTTATATTCCACAATTATGTTATAGCTAGAATGGTTTATCATTCCCTTTTTGAACCACACCTCCGTTATGGTATTTGCTTTTGGGGTGTGTGTTCTACCACATGCCTTCAATCAGTATTACTAATACAAAAACGTGCAATACGATGCATATGCAAAGCCAAGCCTTGGGACTCTTGTCGACCTCTTTCTGCCTCTAACAAAATCCTAACTGTGGTCTCCCTATTTATATACGAGACAATCTGCCTTGTCTTCAAAAATAGGGTATTGTTTAACAACTTGGACGCGCCAATGTATCAAACCAGGCAAAGATTCAGCTTTAAATTACCGCTGCCTTCTTCGTCGCTAGTTAAAGATTCCATTATTTACAATGGTCTTAAAATGTTCAATCACCTTCCTCAAGCTTTAAGAACCATAAATGACCTTAGAGCTCTTAAGAAAGAGTTGAAAGACTTGCTCTCTGGGAGACCTTATTATAGCTTAGCAGAATTATATGATGATAATTTTAATTGAGAAGACTAACTGTAATATCTACGGTATTTTATTGATTTCATTTCATTCAATTTAGTTTAAATTGATTTATTTACATTTTGTTGACCATGTTCTTATATATCCTCAACGTTTGTTATTATTTACATGTCTCTTTTCAGTTCATGTTATAACCTACTTTTAGTGATTTTACTTTTGTGATTTCATGTATATGAAATATTTCCAAAAATTCCCATCTGTTCCAGGCTCACGCGAAGACCCACCTGAAGAGCACCACCGGCCACACGTGCAAAACGTGCAACCAGAGCTTCGCGAGCGCAAGCACCCTCTGCCGGCACTCGAAGGTGCACGAAGGTGCAAAGCGCCATCTGTGCAGCGAGTGCGGAAAAGGATTCTCGCGCTCGGACGACCTGACGCGCCATCTGCGCACGCACACCGGCGAGAAGCCGTTCGCGTGCAAGCTGTGTGACAAGTCGTACGCCCAGTCCTTCCGACTACTCGAACACATGCGCGCGCACGCCGGCGAGAAAAAGTTCGTGTGTTCCGTGTGCGCGAAGGCATTTTCAAGGTACACCAGTCTGGCGGCGCACACCAAGACACACAGCGGCGTCAAGACTCATGTCTGCTCTGTTTGCGGGAAGAGGTGAGAGATTTCTATGTGGTGAATAGCGTTTTTGGGAGTTTCTTTGCGTTTTTATTCATCCACAACGTGAAACGGTATCAACATTACCAAGAGATCTTTTGTTGTTTTTTGTTGCAACATCCTACGTCTACGCCTATGGAATAGCCACTTGAAAATTATTTATTGCTCCTCAGTTTAATGAAAGAGACGATAGTCAGAGTAACTCACCTGCTGGTTAATATATTTTTATAGTTCAGAAGGAAATGAAACAATGTTTTGAACTAAACTTCTATGGCCTAATACGCCCTAAAACTTTCAATTAAATCTTTTCTAGTTTAAAATTGTTTACACGTTTTATTACCATTTAGAGAAAATAGTTTGATGAATTTATGTTGAAAACGTTTTCACAGTTTGGCTATCTACAAAAAGTAACTTCCTTTAATACAATTTCACCTTGCTTTGATACTGTGGTATAATATCATTATCGAGGTATGATGATAGAGGTATAGTTGATGATCGGTTTGATTCATAATAATAATAATAATATTTTATTGGTTCTTCTGGATCATAACTCAATGATATAGAACAAGTCAGTGTAATATGATATAAATAAACTTATAAAAAAGAAAAAATTATGTACATATAGGATTAGATCAAAGAATGAAACGACTGAATTTGACACCCATTTTTCATAAACCTTTGCAAAAGCACTAGGGACAGTAATGGGCCTGTAATTTTCAACTTGTATCTGATCGCTGTCAAAAAGTCAACCTGGATAAGAAAATATCAAACTTGGCCGTCGTTACTAGTGGTGTACCCCAAGAGTCCATTTCAGGTCCTAATTTGTTTTTTCACGCCTTTGGCAAAAAAAATATGTTTTTCCGTCAAACAGCTATCGCACCCCTACAAACGACAAGCCTCGGAAGTCGAAACTTGTCCGAGCTAAGAACTAACGAGGTCTTACCTTTTAACGTGTGATTCCTAACACAGTAGAATGAATGAGTTCTGTACAAAAGTTTTATATGCTGATGATACTAACATCTTGATTACACATAATTATTATGACAGCTGTGCGCTTCATTTAGTAGGTCAAGACTCCCAGAAAGAATAATTGTTCAAATGAAACAATTCTTGGATATCAAGAACAATAAAAAATAGTTGGATTGTAACCTCAACTATGCCAAACATATTGAGTTTCTCTGAGGTATTCCATAGTCACTGGGGTCAAGCTTCTGGAGTTGCCAGTGTTTTTGTAATGCAAAAAAGAGCTATACGAGGCAAGAAATGGGTATTTTGACATTAATATCGATGTACATCCTGGAGATTTCTTGTTTGTTTACAAAAATGAATCAGTTTTTAACCAGACCTGACAAGACATGAAACACTCTTACTGCCAAGTAAGCACAGTATAAACAAGGTTTATTTTATAATGGTTGCAAGATATTCAATAAATTACCCACTAATATGAAGAATATATATAGTTTTGAGAGATCAAAAAAGAATTGAGATCATTTTTGTTTGAAGGTGATTGACAATGTTTCGTGAAATTTCAAATTATGATTTTGAATGTAA